ATACTCGACCTGGGCCCGGAGATGCCGAAGGGTGCAGAAGGGCCTGCGGTTGGGGTGGTGGATGATTCTGCAGGTGCTACTGGGCCTAATGGGTTCCTCCATCCTTGCAGGGCCGGAGAGTGGATTACTCCCCTTGGTGGAGTCACTACTCTTGGTACAGCTGGGGGAGCGTCTGTCACTTCCATATCTTCGGAAACGACGATCCCAGGCTCTTCTGGATTCTCGGACATGGAAGAAGGTGCAATTGGAATCCAAACAGGAAACAGTGTGGAGGAGCGCTTCTCTGGCCGCGACTAGGCGGGATCTGTATGGCGGAGCCGTGATAACAGAGGTGTGAATGCAGCGCGTGTAGCGGTTCATCAACCTAAATGAACTCGAGAGGAGTTCGCGAAAGACGCGGTGAACTTCAGGTCTACTTTTAGCACCCTAAGTTCTTAGGTATTGTACTAGGGTTTTAAGACCCGCGAGTGCCGTTCTGTTACGTAGAAAGCAAGTAGGTAGTGTACAGTTGGCAGGGTTTGGGGCTGAACTGCAGACGTACGGAAACAGGACCTAAAGTCACTGATCCTTATGAACTGGCGGCTTGTGTAAGATGAGGGCCTGGTCCACTTCTACTTAAAAACTAACGTAAAGAAATTGAGATAGAGAAACGCGTCGGGGAAATGATGATTGAACAAAAAATGTGATCCACGAGAATATTCTCGAGCAGAACAGCATGGTGAAGTTCGTCGAGAACGGTGACGTCCAAGACAAAGTTCGAGTCGGAGTGGTAGAATAGACTTAACCTAATGTTATGACCCACGTTCACCAATAATGATGAAGGAGAGTTCACGACCACTAGGACTCAGTCAGAGATGATAATGAGCAACAGGATAGATTGAGCGTTAACGTCTAGGTCACTACAACAGTAGGAAACGAAGAGGTTAAGTCTAAGGAGCACTTACGCTAACTACCCTACTTTTATACATAACATTGAGTAGGAGTCTGAAAGAAATCAACCAATGAGAAAAGAGTCGTACGATACTGCGGATGAGTAAGTATGACATCATGATATATAAGCGACTGAGTAAGACGGTTACTAAATAGAAACCCAAGATCCGACCGGTTCTTCTTTAGGAAGTGAGATTGTTCTAGCCCGTGGAGTAGGGGAGCCAATCGGAGAAGCAACAGGTGATCTATGACGAGGAGTCATGTGACCGGCTCGGGTACTGGAAGTAGCCGAAGGAAAACCGAGAAATGAAAAATGGTTCGTATTAGGAATTTGTGACACAGCACCACTTCAGCCAAAACTCTCAATAACTGGTTGGCGGGCCTTCAGTTCTGGCATGTTATCAATGGTGCAGATTGGAAAGGCCCACATTTACTGCATCACACCAGACATGGTTTCTCCAAGATGGTTCCTTCATCTTTGCACAGAGCCAAACACCCTCCCATCACCATAGATGCCTTGTGTCTCTTATTCAATAATCTAGATCTCTCTCTCCCTCTTGACATGGCCATGTGTGCAGTCGCTCTTGTCGCTTTTTAGTGCTGATCTGTGTACCGTAGGGCTGCCTTGATGCGAGCCTGATCCGATAATCCGACAATATCTGCTAATTGGGCAACTTCATGGAAGAAGGGTAGTAGTTCCGAAGCGATACCGGTAAACTGTGGTGTGATGTCCGATGTGCTCAGAGGCATAAAGCTCATTGCAGATGACATTTCTATGCGGGGTGCAAGTGTTAGGTGTCAGGACCGGGTCATGGAACGCTATGCACGATTCTTTGACAGTGAAGCGGATCGAAACAGATACAAAGCGGATAAAAAGCAGATCAGAACAGATACAAAGCAGATAGAAAGCAGATCAGAACAGATACAAAGCAGATAACAAGCAGATAGGAATGGGTCTAAAGTGACTGCTAGCTTTCCAGATGATCCCCTTGCAGTGGGCTCCAGTTGTGGGTACAACAAGTGCAGCAGTGAGAAATTGATCTACTACAAAGTTGGGTCTTTGCTGCCTGCTGCCTCACTTGAGAACAAGCATGTTCGACCCTAAAGGGGATTGCTACTGGGGAGTGCTAATCTCTGTCTAAGCGACCCTAATCAACCCTACCGCAGGTAGGATGAGGATCTGCAAAAATGTGGAACAAGAGGAACAAGCGGAACTCAAGTGGAACTCAAGCAGAATGAAATGGAATGAAGTGGAACTCAAATGGATACAATGCGGAACATACAGATTCATCAGAACTTGCGGATCAAGTTGAAGGAAGTATATCACAAGGTTGGATTGATAGTGGGCATAAGTCAAAGCGGTCCTCTAGTAAGGTGAAGGAAAAGTCGGAAAAAAGTTGGAAGGTAAAAGATGGGATTTGATAAAAAAAAAACACCCAAGCCCTGAGTACCACTACTTATAGGGAACATTATTTTCAAGGAACACTGAGGTACAGGTAGTAAGTTCTCAGGAAGCAGAAGTGAAGGCAGGCAGTGCACAAGGGTGCAATACTCCGCAATAGGGGTTCGTGCCATAGGGGCATGTGTCAATGTGATCCGGACAATGTTAGAAGCAATGGGAAGAGAGATACAGCGTACCAATGGACCTGGAAGGATGGGGACAGGACATGCGAAGGTTGTCCAACAATGCGTAGGAATATCAAATAGTGCAGGTGAGTTCCAAAGGATGCATGGGAATGCGGAACCCATCGGACGATGTGCGGGAAACACGGAATGTGCAGAATATGTGGAACTGATGTGAGACGATGCAGAAAGGACAGGGTTTTATGCCTACAGTGGGAGTATTCCCCACAATGCATCACCCTCTCTCTATCATCCCTTCTCTCAACTCTCTGTCTTGTAGGCTAGGGGAACTAGTTATCCCAAATGTTAATATTTTCAACCCTCTTAAGCATGTCTCATGCTCTGTCACACTGATTTCATCATTTGAGGTGTTAGACAGTCACAACACTCAGGCAGCAGTTTTTCACATCCCCTGGACCAAGACTACAAAGGAACAGGGTGCCGACATCTCGCTCACATCCGAGATCATTGCACTTGCCCTTTGCAGGCACTAGAACACCACCTACTCATCAATCACAACATCCCAGATGAGGCTCCCCTGTTCACCTACCTTACCTCTTCTGGGTGGGCTCCCATGACCAGATCCATTTTCCTCACTTGCTACAATGAGACCTGGGTGGTGCAAGGTTTTCCCAACTTGCCAGGACACACTTTTCACATCAGAGGTGCCACAGAGTTGTTGCTTCAGGGTGTTCACCCGGACGTCATTTCCACTCAAGGGAGGTGGTCTTTGGACGCTTTTTTGGAGTATTGGTGTCGCATTGACACCATCTTGCCACTGTTCATTGCGTCTTCCGCCAATACACAACGTCTAGCTGATCTCGACCACATTATGGACTCCTTTGCCCAACACCATCACTTATCTCATAATGCCCCTCCATCATAATACTCACTCTTTCCTATTGTATCTAATGGGCCCCACATGTTGCATTCAATTTGATTCCATTTCATTCATCTGATCGTTAGCTTTAGGTGTGTGGGTTGGGTCCGTCAGGACCCACTTTCACTGTGAGCTGCGCTCCAATGTGGTCTGAATGTGTGTTTTCCTGATGGACTATTCGGTCTGTACACATTTCACCCGAACACGCTCCGAAGGTTTGATTATTTGATCCCCCATCACTTGGTACTCAAGCATCTCCTCGTTGCTACCTTGGGGTCACATGCTTAGTCCAGACACTGCCTTCCCATGCGGGCCTGGCTTCGCCAGACCTTCCCACACACAAAACAAATCTACTTATGTTGTCTTCACTTTGATTCGTTCTCAAAGCTTTCTAACTTTCACAGTTATTCTTCCCTCTCTTCAGCTGCACTCTGAACTAACTGTACAAGAAATATTAAAGCTCATCCAATAGTATTGCATCCAGTTTAATAATTAATCTCCTCTCCATCTTCTATTAGACAACGCAGTTCATACAAAGGTTGATACACTTCTCGACTTGTGGGCTGCAACTCTCATTAAGCACACACTCCCCCTTTTGCAAACCATAGGGACATGTCACAAATTCATCTGCCTTTGCTGCCTTGACTGCCTTAGAATAAATTGAACAAAGGATAAAATTAGTAACTTACTCCCCTTATACTGCCTTAATGCTATTTTTAATTAGTTTTAAGTAATCTAAGGTACAAAAAGGAACTCAATAATTTGCTGATGTTTTTTCCAAAAGACCTGCAAAGAAGACAATGTACCTGAACTTGAGTTGTTGCAGTGGATCAGGACTCACTGGGCTTCACTATACAAATGTCTCGACTATATGTTACTCTTACGCTGTGTGAGCATTTTTTTTCTTTTGATGTTCGAAGCCTGATATTTATAATTAAATAGGCTATGAACCATTTCACGAACCTCGCTGACGAAAGCAAAGAGGTTCAGAATCTTCACAACAAGTCTTACAAGGACCTTAAGCTTGATTGAAAACACGTGCACTGGTATGAAATAACGCTGCCTTCTTGTGACCCAAGTATCACGATAAGTGCTATGGGCCGGAGGAAGGAACAAAACGTATTTGTCGGAGGTTTAGAACGGCTCGCCGAAGTGGTTTTTTGGTTTTTTCTGCCTCGAGGTGGTGAAGCAGCTAGAACGTCTAAACTTGTTCCTCTGAGCATGTTCTCAAAGCGGTGCGATATTAGATATTGAAAGATAATAGCAATGTGCGCTCACGGTCTGCATTATCTTCCGAGTCGGTGTCGTACCACCCTCCCCATGCAGGTCCCGTCAGAATTCAGAGAAAACCCTCCAAAGGAATTTTAGCTCTTGAAGCCGCTGCACGTTTTCATCTGACTTCTGGCAGGCCACTACGAAAGTCATGAATCATCGTCCCAGAGCAAAAGAGAAAAAATACATGAGATGTACGCTACGAATTAATACAAAATGTCAACAGCCAAATGAAAGCAAGAGCAGAACGTCGAAACTCATCATAGACACGATACGACACGCATTAAGGAGGGCATCATGACCGCGACCGAGAAGGAGCCACTTTATGGGCGTCTGCCACACTATCCAGCTGCGCACTCCGTTTCTGAGCGAGTTCGTTCTGTCGTTCTAGGCTCCTACCGTCACAGCATCAGCACGAGATCTTGAACATGGGAGAAAGGACAAACCTCATCTGATTCTCCAACTCTAAAACCCTCTCCTTCGCACCCTGTCGCTCCCTCTTATACTTCTCCTCCCCTGCCTTTAACCTCGCCTCATACTCCTTCACCCTCGCCTCCCATTTCTGATCAGCCGTAGTCGTCTTCTGGTTTATATTCGAAATCTTCTCTTCGCTTAGGAGGAGCTGGTTTTGAACCACCACGAGGCGTTTCTCGGCGTTCACTGCACGTGAGAGGAGGGTTTTGGTTTCTTGGGAGTCGCCTTGGGTTGGTCGACGGGATGTTACTACTTGAGAGGTTAATTCTGCGTTGGTGGCCTTCATAAACAATAAGCATGACTCGAAATTGACGAAAAATAAAAACCACCAACCTTCAACCCCTCAATCTCTCCCTCTTTCGCAGTAAACTTCCGTCTCCACGTAGCCTTCGCCTCCCCATACGCTTTCACGCTCGACTCAAACTTATCAATCTGTTTCCACCGTGTATCAAGCTGTCTCCGCATCTCAGCAAGCTTTTCAGTGAATTTTGTTTCTACTTCTTTAACGCGTTTGTCAAAGTCGAGTTGGATTTGAGAGAGAGCTTTGAGTCGCGTGATTAGGTTGTCGTGGAAGACGCTGAAGTTGGTGAAGGGTTTTGTCTCTGCTTGATTGCCTTTCTTCTGCAACATGTTTTATCAGTGGCGCGTGCGTCAAAAGAGAAAGAGACTTACGGGAGTCTTGTCCACGCCGAGGATCTTATCCATGTACTGATAGATCGTAAGCAGCAGCGTATTCCGCTCCGTAAGCTGATCACGGTACTGGTTCTCAGCACTCAACAACGTCCGCTGGTCCTTAGACAACCGCGTCTCCAGCTCGTTCACTTTCGTCCTATACCCAAACAACTCTGCCTCGGCGGTCTTGAGGCTGCTTTGCGTGCTGTCAAGCTTATCTGAGAGACTGAGACGCGCTTGGGTTTGTGCGTTGACCTGCGCAGTGAGCTGTTGTACTTCAAGCTGCAGTTTGTGAATCAGATCTTCACGATCGCGAGTCGTGCCTTCTCGGTCCCCAACATCCTTCCGCGCACGCGTAAGTTCGTCCTCTAGGCGGTCGACATCACGTTTCAGTCGGTCAACCTCGAGTTGCAACGAGAAACGGGCGGTTGTATGCGTCTCCCCAAGCTCTTTGGACCGCTGCTCCATATCCCGGAGCGCGTTTTGGACAGCTTCAAGGTCGCTTTGACGTTGAGAGAGGAGGAATTGTGTACGGGAGAGGTCATCAAGGGCGCTGTGAAGCGCAGAGTCTTTATCTTCGAGCGCACGGCGTTCGTGTCGAAGCTCTGACTCGTGTGTCTTCTCTACCTCATCGAACTCGCGCTCGAGGCTCTCCCGAGCTTCTTGCTCGCGTTTCACTTCGACAACGAGGTCTTCGATGTGCCGCGCTAGTTCTTCCTGTCGTGCTCGATGCGCATGGATGTCTTGGAGAGATTGGTCGTAGTTTTCTTGAAGGTCTTGGAGTTGGGATTTTAGACCGGAGACTTTCTAACAATGGTGCTGCGTGAGATTTTGAAATGAGATATTGTGAATGAACGTACATCTTTGAGTGCAGATGCGAGTGCTTCTGAATGTTTCGCGCTCGACCGCGTCTTCCTCTCTGACACGTTCGTGGTCTTCAACCATGCGATCTGCGTCTTCCTCAAGTGCATATACCTGCTTTCCAAGGTGCTCGATCTCCTCGTTCGCAGCACGAAGCTCAGCATCTTTTTCCTCAGCTTCTTGCTCGAGGTGTGTGAGGGTGGCTTCGAACTTGGAATGGAGGTCGTTAGTGTTAGCTTCGAGTTCTGTGATGTTGAGGCGGAGTTCTCTTGCTTCGTTTTCGCGTTCTGCAAGGACCTATAAGTGCGATTGTGAGACACTGAAGGGAAGAAATAGAATAACGAAACGGACGTCTCTGAGCTCTTCGACCTGACTCCTGGCCTCTTCAACTTCGCCCCTCCACTCCTGCTCAACTACGTCGACAACACGATCGTGCTCTTGAATTAAATCGTCGATCTCCTTATTCTTGAGTTCCAGCTCGTCCTCCTTCTGCTGTAGCTCGATAGTGGCGGCAGCAAGCTTATCCCGGATTGCGTTGAGATCGTCCTCCACAGCCTCACGTTCCTCTCTCTCTTCGAGTACCTGAGCCCTACTCTCACTGCGCTCAATACTCTCCGCTTCTCTCCGTCGCTGCAAATCCTCGAGCTCCAGTTGCAGGCGCTCTGCATGATCAGCAAGAGCCTCAGTCTCGTCCTCACGTTGTATGAGAAGTTGATCGCGCTGCTCGAGTTCATGGCGAAGTTCTTCATTCTCCGCACGTAGATCTTCAAGTTTGCGTGCGTATCTGTGATCCACGGTGTCGTCTCCACTGCGCTCGACGATAACCTGGGCCTTCCTCAGCTCCCTGATCTCGTGCTCGCGTTCCTGGAGCTGCATCTCGAGATCGCGTTCTCGTTCATGCAGCTGAGTTTCTAAATCACGTTCACGTTCGTGCAACCGCGACTCTAGATCATGGTCACGAGTTGAGCCACGCTGGAGACGCTCCAATTCGCGCTCGAGCTCCAGAACAAGTTTCTTGAGTTTCTTGATCTCGAGACCACGTTGCTGGACCTCAATCTTGAGATTGATGTTCTGTTTGAGAGCTGCATCGATCTGGTCTGGCGCGAGCTGTGCAAGACGCTCCTCGAGGAAATGAACGCGGAGCTTTATGTTAAAGTTTTCTTTTTTGAGAGAGTCGATGTGCTGTTATGCAGGTTAGATAGAATCGGGTGGCGGGTCATAGCTTACCTTTTCTTGATCTCTTAAAGACAAAGCAGCGCCTTTTCCTCCTGGTGCGCTTTGTCTTGGACGTCGTGCGCGTTGAATGGGTGTGTCTGGGACATCACCAGTGCTAGGAGCTGGGGAGGATATCGACGGGAGACGGAGTGGTCGGCCAGGTGTACTGGGCCCTGATACGAACGACCCTAATGACAGATCCGGGTGCGTCCCAGTGGAGGTGTCTGCACCGTTTGGAACGGCCGACATGCGCGTTGGTGGAAGCGATGAGCACGGGTCGGGTTGATTACTAAGCAGCAGTGAGCACTTTATACGTGCGGAGTAACTTGACCGCCGATCAAAGGAGGAACGAGCCAAAACACAGTAAAGAAGCCAGTATCAAAAGACAGTAGAGAGGAAGACATTATCGCAGGCAGATATAGTACGTGATCAACCAATGCTATAGAGTGCTACAAGTAGACAGTTTCTAGGTATTCAAGATCAATGAGGAACACTGATCCGCTCGGTATGTTCGGGAAGTCGACCTCGACCAAGCCAACACCATATGGTAGCAGCCTCCATCCAACAGATATCTCTTCTTGGGGAGAGGCGTATTTAAATCCAATAAAGTCGGTACACCTTGGTTTACAGATTGGCGGCAGACGTGAGCTGGAGGATCCTTTGGATTCTCGGAGTAGTATGAGGCCAGTCGACTTGCCCCGGATCCCTAAGACCTTGCTTGATCTACCACTGAAAATTGAATAATTGGACAATACCGAGGGCGAACTCCATCTGGCTAGGAACGTAGCCCGAGGTGGTGATAATAACTTGGATGGTTGGACACAACGGGCAGTCAAGTGCGATGTTGATCCCACAATCGTCCAGATACGAGCGCAAATTGAGAGGGAGTATTACCAGAGGTACTCGCAAACCGAGGGTGGTCATATTCATCTCCAGTCGCGTTTCAGCCAACCCCAATTTGGGAGAACCGACAAAGCTCTCTGGCGAATCAGGGATGGCACGCGAAGAACCGTATCGCTCAACGTCACCCACCCAGTTGAGGACAGAAGGGTCGCCAGCCTGCATGATGGCTTCCATGAGTCTGCGAAATGCGCGCTCGCCTCCTTCTCCATACTCAATCTGCAGGCTCACATCGAACATTCCCATCAGGGAATAGGCGACGTCTTCGACCCTTGTTGTTTTGCGTCTTGCTGCCCAGACCATCCGCTCATCCACCCTCATCGAACCTGCATTGAACCAGCAAAGCTCGTGGCGAGGAATGCCAGTGGCTCTTTCCAGAGTCTCCATTAATTCTACCCCTTTGCTAACCTTGTCATTTATATCACCCGTCAGGGGAATCCAGTGCTTGTTGAAGAATTTGATATGGTACGGTGCGAGGAGTTCTTGCAAGGTCCAGCCCCTTCTCGTCCATTCATCAAACAATACATCCTCGATAGCCTCGCTGTTTGCCAGATGGACGATGCAAATGGTCGCATTTCGGTACCATCGAAACATGGAGCGAATCGATTCGTCGAGCTCAGTACTGCTGCTCTTGTCGATGCAGCACGTATCTGACCACCCGAATTCCACGCCGTACTCCCTGGCCTTTTCGCAGAATTTCATCAACTTCTCGTATCCCAGACCTGATGCTGTACCGGCTCTCATCTCTTCGTAGGTTGGTTCTCCTCCATCCAGCCATCGGTGAGACAGTATGGCGTACTTGACATGGCGGGAGGGATCAAAATCATACGGCGTCCAGCCAACAGAGCCCCGGAAGTGCTTCCTCACATTATCACGCCCAACAAACTTCATGTCTGATAGGCGTATGAGGCGGATTGGGATGTCATTCATCACATATCGGTTGAATGTGTCGAGGTTCACCTCGTTCATGACAAATCACTACTAGACGCATGCCACAATGGATTGGTGCAACAAGGCAGCATAGAACAACACCGACCTGAGTGGACGTGGGTTAAGAGATGTTCCGCCAGACGGGACGTTTGGACGCGCGAGAGATCCTCGCACTCGAACTTAACCAAATGCAAATAATCAATCGAGGTCTCGATTGCGGCCAAATTCTCACTCACCTCAGACAAGTTATACAATGTCTTCAAGGACGGTGCCGAGATGGTACAACGCCTATACGACTGTTTTCTCCAAATCTCAGTTCTCGATGTCTACAAATTATTTGAAACATTACCTCGAGCGTCCTTGTGGTACAATGCAGATGTGCGTTCCGCAGTGTGCTGTGAGGATGGTGTGCGGTCCACGAGGATCTGGTCCAAATGACACGTGAGTCATGACATTATGAGTTTGGTACGAGAGCGCTCAGGCTGGAACTACTAGTCTCCCCTAGCCAGACCCAATGTATAGATAGAAGGAAGATAGTCGTTCGGAACAGATTACATGGAAGTTCTCGACAAACGATTACTAAGCAACGGCCAGTGGCCTCAAATCCTCCTGAGTCCTTCGACTGTGTCCGTCGCAAACAACATGCAGACAGCCAACTCAAACGTCATGTCCCGACGTCTTCTCGTTCGTACTATCCAGTAACGGGTCTGCCGACACAGTCTTACGCCCATTTACCCACACCAAACTTCAATCCTTATGCATCGCTCATAGATGGACGTACAAACACCAATTATCTCACCTGCTCGATGCCCTCTCTCCCCAATTTACGCACGCTTACACGTAGCGGCACAGAACCGTGGTCTCATGAGGAGTTGAAGGCATTTTTGGTGCGGTCAAATTGTCCCTTGGAGAGCCTGATTTTCAGCGCTGGAGTCATGCCGACAGGGGAGCAGCAAGCGGAATATGTTGCCCTCATTCCTTCCCTCGAAGTAATAGTGGATCCCGACCGTCGTGAATGCTTTGCATGAGTCTTTATTGATTGTTCTCATCAAATCGAGTAGATTTTCCAGTGCATTCTAATTCTCAAGCGTAAAAATCACGTGTGTCAGGCCTGTACGCATACCAACATTTGCGGCTGGAGTGGGATGGCTCTGACTCGGACGCCGCGCCATACGATTGTTCGCATGCTTTCGATATTGTACATAGGTAATATAACTAGCACTTCCTACAATCCTGATATCATAGTTGCGGTAGAGCCAACGGCAACCGATACTATAGGGTACTACAAATGTACAGTTTCTAGGTATTCAGGGTCAATGAAGAACAATGATTCACTTGGTATGTTCGGGAACTCAACCTCGATCAAGCCCACACCGTGTAGTAGCTCCCACCTAGACGTCTCTTCTGGGGGAGAGGCGAATTTAAATCCAACGAAGTCGGTACCTCTAGGATTACAAATGAGAGAAGAGAGCGAGCTGGAGCTGCAGGAGTTTCGGTACAGGATGAGGCCGACCGACTTGCCCCGGATCCCTAAGACCTTGCGTGATCTTTCACTAAAAAGTGAATAATTGACAATGCCGAGGGCGTACTCGAATTGGCTGAGATGCTGCCACTCAAGAGCGTGGGCCAATGGGTTGATATCAACTTTGATGGTCGGACACAACGGGCAGCCGAGTACGACATGGAGGCGCAGGGGCCCCTGCTCCTCATGCGAATGGTAACTGAGAGGGAGGATCACCAGAGATACTCGCAGACCGAGGCTGGTCATATTCATCTCCAGCGGCTGTGTAAATATATCCAACATCACGTTGCGAGAACCAACGAAGCTCTCTGGCGAGTAAGGAACGGCACGCGAAACGCTGAATGGTGCATGGTTGCCCACCCAGTTGAGGATAGAAGGGTCACCATCCTGCATGATGGCGTCGATAAGTCTCCGGAATGCGCGGTCGCCTCCTTCTCCATACGCGATCTGCAGGCTTACATCGAAAATTCCCATTAGGGAATAAGCCACATCCTCGACCCTTGTAGCTTTGCGTCTGGCAGCCCAGGCCATCCGCTCATCCAGCCTCTGAGGCAGGAAATGCGGAGAGAACGAGTAGAGATCACAGCGAGGAATGCCGGTGGCTGTTTCCAGAGTTTCCATTACTTTGGACTCTTGGTCTTCCTTGTCATTTCTATGACCCGTCAGGGGAATCCAGTACTTGTTGAAAATTTTGATATTGCGGGGTGCAAGAAGTTCTTGTAAAGTCCAGACCCTTCTCGTCCATTCATCATGCAATATACCCTCGATGGTCTTGCTTTGTGCCAGATGGACGATGCAAATGGTCGAATTTTCGTACCACCGAAACATGGAGCGAATGGACTCGTCGAGCTCGGTACTGCTGCTCTTGTCAATGCAGCACGTATCCGACCACGCAAATTCCGTGTCGTACTCCCTCGCTTTCTCGCAGAATTTCTTCAGCTTCTCATATCCCGGACCTGATGCTGTGCCGGCTTTCATCTCTTCGTAGGTTGGTTCTCCTCCATCCAGCCATCGGTGAGACAGAATGGCGTACTTGACATGCTCGTGGGGATAATAGGAATACGAGTGCTCAACAGAGCTCCGGAAGTGCTTCCTCACATCACCACGCCCAACAAACTTCATGTCTGATAGGCGGATGAGGCGGATAGGGATGTCATTCATAACATATCCGTCAAATCTGTCGAGATTTTGCTTCCTCTGACGCATGGCAAGTCACTTCTAGCCACAATGAATTGGTGCGGTCAAATGATGCAGCGTACAACAACACCAACCTGGATGGACGTGGGCAAAGAGATGTTCTACCAACACGACGTTTGCACGTGCAAGAGATCTTTCTCGAACTTGATCAAATGTATATCATCGATTGAGATCGCAATTGCAGCCAAGTCCTCACTCACCTCAGACGAGTAGCAAAAACGCTTCGAAAGATAATACCGAGATGGTACAACACCTGTACGACTTTTATCGTCAACCGCAAATGTCAGTTTCTCGATGTCTACCACATATTTTTGGCGTTACCTCGAGCGTTCTGGTGGTACAATGCCAAGGTGCGGTCCGCGGTGCTATGAACATGGCTTCTAATCCACGAGGATTTGGTCCATTGAAAGATAGAGCCTCGGCGATCGGCAACGAACAAGAGTTGATTACTAAGCAAGGATCACGATCGGTCTCTCATCAAACCTGTCCATCATGCAGACAGCCAACTCGACAGTCAATCTCTCCCCGGCCTCGGACATAATCAGGGTAGTGTGAAACATCGTAAGTGCCCATTACTCTCAGTCAAGATTGCCAGTTTGTACAATTAACCCACGCATTCACAAGCAATCATGTGTACCATACCTTCAGATATCTGATTCAAACATTGACGATTACCAGATACCAGACCTCAAAACCCCATACTCCAGAGCTAGATTCCCCACTACTAACCGCTCCGCCATTGAGCTCGAAGACCACAGCATCAGGGCCATCATCACCGGACGCCAGCAGCAGTTGGATGCAGTTTGCCACGACATCTCAGGTTTCGAAGAAGTCGTGGATAATATTCACTAACAACTCGTTGAACACAAGGACAAGATTCTTCAGTCCATGAATCTGCACAAGAGATTCGTATCGTCCCTATGTTACTTGCCAACTGAAGTCCTATTTACAATTTTTTCTCCGCTCTCTCCCAAAATTCGGTGACTTGTCACCCCCATCAAACCGACAAGTTCCCATATCGTTAAGCATAGTATGCCGACGATGGAGGGAGGTTGCCGTGGGCCTGTCCAGTTTGTGGTGTCGGCTCTGTATGGACCGTGCGGTAGTCTCCTACAGTTTCGACTATCACACATGGCTCGAGCGATCGCAAGGACGTCTTCTCTCGTTAGAATTCAAGTGCTACGAGTATGACGACTCCATAATGCTACGAGACCTTCTTCGCCCTTACATGAATTGACTGTCATCTCTTCATATCATACTTGTACTCCCCGACATCACAACTGATTTGTTAACCGGCGCTCCAGCACTTCAGGAGATAGTCATGAGGACAGATTATACTGATGTTTATGACAGTATTGTAGTTATTCCACTACCGCGTCTACCGCCCAATCTGCGTAGTCTCGAAATAACTAGGAGACTGTGGTTCGGGGACGAACTCCAGAGCTTTATACCATGGAAGGCTCTGATACTCTGATCCCGTATGGGCACGCCTGACAAATATCAAGATCGAGATATTTGAGAACGCATTCCTCCCCTTGCTCAAGTCACGTCCCGACCTCTTCTCGTTAACGATTCGCGTAGCATCCAGTGAGGGGGCTGCGGACATAGTCTTACACCCATTCACCCACACAAAATTTCAATTGTTGCGCATCACTCATATGGGGACGTCCAAACACCAATTATCTCACCTGCTCGATGCTCTCTCACTCCCCAATTTACGCATGCTTGAACTTAGCGGCACAGAACCGTGGTCACACGAGGAGTTGAAGGCATTTTCGGTACGGTCACATTGTCCCCTGGAGAGCCTAATGTATGGCAATGGAATCACGACAGACGAGCAGCGAGCTGAATACGTTGCCTTCATTGAAGCAGTAGTGGATTCCAACCGGTTTGCATATGTCTCTATGGATTGTTCGTGTAATGATCCAAAGTAAATTTTACAGCACATCCTAATTCTCAAGCGTACAAACCACATGCGTCTGAACTGAGCGCACGGCTGGAGTGGGATGGCTCCGACGCCCCGCTGTATCACCCTATAATGATGTTCCAGATCGCTCACCGGTCATTTTCAGCATCCCAACATCTAGAAGCACCACTCACATGCATGAGGAAGTGCCTTGGTGACGTTTAGTGCAGTGACCTGCTGGGCTACTTGCCGCTCCAGAAAATCTCCGCCGATGACGCAGCACGCGGCCACACGATCGGGTCCATATTTTGGGGACCGGACTGCTCACTCCAGAGTGTGCTCGCCTAGGATTGATCAGAAGTGTCAATTCGTATTGGCCAAGTGTGCCAAAGGATCGATGGTATAAGTATGCCTGAGGGAAAGATGTGATACTGCAGCAGCATACTGAACAATGTACTGAACGTCACTCGCGCTGTACACTTCTTGAGGAGAATGTGAATATGCGCCGATGACAGCAAGCTTGGGTTACTGTGCAATCAAGCGGGAAACTAGTCGTATGAACATGTCCATCTTTCCACTTCCTGTTACGACCATAAGCAGGACATCAAGCCCATCAAGCAGATAGGCAATGGCTTCAGCTTGGAAGTCATGGATGTCAGTGGGCATATAATGACTCAGAATGTGTCGGATATACTTCTTTCCTTCCTCCGTACTGAATCGAAAGCGTTCTGTCTGTTATTGGACTGACATTCTATCGAGACATGCACCTCGCACCTGAGGGTGTTGCTTGCACATGTTTGCACTATGTCGTTGTGACGGCATACTGTCGGATTATGAAAATTTGACATCAAGGGCGACTTCTGCGCTGCCCCGTCGCGGTACCGGCGATTTTGCCCACTGTGCCGCGGCCCGTACGGCCCAAACTCCTACCATGTTGCCGATATGGCACCTCGGGACTCCCATTTCTACTTTCACGATCTCAAGGCACTATTCGGATACATTGCACGGACCAGGAGATTGAAACAAGTTTTCGGAGATGTCGCCCATCCGAACCAGGATGAAGAAGGAGAAACGAACGCTAGTTCACTGGCTTATTCGAACGAGGTTGTACCATTCATCTCATTTCCTTAAGTTAGCTTTCACGTTTTCGCGCCTGTGGTTTAGATTGATACATCCTCCAAGAATAGCATACAAGAGCAGCTACGTTACATACGACTCCACCCATCTCATTCCACCCCGTTCGCTCTGAACCCCCAACTTGAACCACAACCCATGTCCCCGTCATCTCACATGGCATCCTCATCCTAGGTATCCCCCTGGTCCAGCTTTCCGGCGTTCCTCATGCGCTTGGCAGCACCTCGATGCTCGTCCCCATCCTCCGCACACTCGCAGAGAGCTTCGCAGCCGATTCCACCGATGAATCTGGCGCGGACGCAGTCGTCAATGCTAACGAAAAAGGCGGCGAAGCATTATGGGCGGGCAGCCAAGTGGGTCCTGTCACCGTATTCCAAACAAACTCCCGCATCGTTTTCGCAGGTGGCGTTCAGCTGTTCAGCGACAAATATGCGAGGAAGGAACTTCTTTCTGGGATGCCGTCTGGAAACTCACAGTTTAGGGATGTTGCGGCGTGGGTTTCCTAGGAAAGCCGTACGCTGCGTATTGATAGCGTTGAGCATCACCGTGTTAACGAAACTCAGGTTCCGAAGATGTGAGTCGTCTCCAGCTGTCTAGTGGATCGTAATATGACGTCTTGTATCAGGTATACATAACGCACAACTTTTCATACAACAGCAAGACCTCGACGTAGACGCCTTACAGCAGTATCGATGACTTGCAGTTGGAATTTTCGATGGTCGACCCTCACATCCGCACTTCTCTGCTGCATGTCCCTGGATCCCCTGGTACATACCAGGTCCAGTTCCGTGCTCCTGACAGACACGGTTGTGTTCTAATTCGTCTTGACCTGGAAGAGGAAGGAGTGAGCCTTTATTTCTTCTCGACATCCCAAACTAACCGTTTTTACTCATACTTCTCGTCGAGCATGACTGTCCCCGTCATGCCACCGAGACATGACAAATACCCTCGCTTCTTGAGCGTTGCATGGCCATACTACACAGGAGCCATCAGCACGAGTGTCGGATTTTTCCTTTTTGGTTTACAAGAGATGTCAAAGGCGAGCAGAAGAAGGGATCCAAAGCACAGTGAATACTTACCGGCGCCCGGTTATGGAGCAAGCGAAATATACTGAACCCATCGCTGATAGTTCGCCTGTATATCTCGCGGAAGATCTGGTTGTGCAACCTAAACAACAACTTGAAAGCGGAACGTATCTATGTATGTATGGGTGCGATATACATATCACGACTTTGCAGGTGGGGCCCGGAACACTTTGCGTAGGTTGTCGCAAACGACGCCTGGACTTTCAGCAGCATCGGGACCATGCCACAGGTACTCTTTGTATTCATATTTCCTCTATTCCGAGATGTCCATTGCTTGAGGGGCAGTGAAATTCGTTCACAAGCAAACACGTTGATCGACTCAGCAGCAAAATACTAGTAGCTCACGCGTCGTGCTATCAACCATACTGCACCGATGTGAAAGCAGAAACACGACTCACTGCAGTATGCTGTCGCGATATGCCACTCACTCACGCACAAAACATGACGGCCTACCACGCCGGTGAGTCATGTGGTTAAATCCAGGACGCACACTACTCATACTCACAAGAAAGTAGCATTCGTAGCCAGGGCAGCAGTCGTGAACAAAGCAAATTGAAGGACATTTTTCACTGTCAGGGTCACTGACAGGTATTGATGCTGCAGATATGGATGTTGTCAAAGCAGCAAGGACGGTGAGGACAAAGGAGAAACGCATTGTTTGTGAGGGTGTGGTGCGGGATCAAATGAATCTGAAGGGGACAGTAGGAAGACGGCTTGCTTTTATGTGATAAACCTATCCCCTCTTTCGAACAGATGGTATCCAATGCCAGCAGATTGCCAACTAAGGTCGACCTTGTGATGCAAGGTCTATTGGTAATTTGGCATGGAACACAATATTACCTTGCCAAGCAATATCAAGTGCCAGCTCGAATCCGCTGTCGGGAACTACTGCAACAAGGACTGATTAGCTAGTCTTCGATCAGCTCGTTCCTTCTGCTTCAAGTTAGTCAAGCCCCAATGTCCCCAGACACATGTCAGCCTCCCAACATATCAAAGGTGTAGTCCAGACTTGTTACGAGTCTATTCGAGGGCATCGAAGCTAGTAGATCCGAGTCCTCCCCAGTATAACTCGCATCATAGCCTACTACTCAGATCTCACAGATCTTATAGGTGCCGTTGCTGGATCTTGCTTCTCAATTCGACAACGACGATTTTCTATATATAGCACCAAGCTATGGGGTCGGGATAAATCCCCAGCGGCTCAGTCCAGACCAAAATGCATCCATGATGCCAGTAAACAGCGCCTATGACGGAAGTCGTCGTCGTGTCACTGTCATCGAGGGCTTCTATGTTTAAGTTTACAATGAGACTACAAAACTGCGTCGGAACATAGTATCCATGTATTCGAGTGTTCGTGATTTCCTCATTCCAAGATCTCCGTTGCTCGAGCGACAGTGAAACCTGTTCAGAAGCATGTACATTAATCAACTCAGCACAAACTACTAGTAACTCACGTGTCATGCCATCAACCATACGGCACCGATGCGAAAGCAGAAACACGACTTACGCGACATGCCGCTCACTCTGTATATATATTGACACACATATATAAGACCCACTACCCCGCCGGTGAGTCATGTAGTTAAATCCAGGACGCAAACTACTCATACTCACAGGATTTTGGCATGCATGCCAAGGGCAGCAGATGTGAGGACGTAATATCAAATAAATCTCAAGATGGCTTGCTTTTATGTGAAGGACTTATCCCCCCTTTCGAACAGATAATATTTGCAATGCCAGCAGATTGCCACCTAAGATCTACCTTGTGAAGCAAGGTCTATTGGCAATTTGGTGTGGAAAAAAATATCACCTCGCGAAAAGTGCCAGCTCGAATCAATACGCAGCGTACGGCTTTCCTGGAAAACCCCGCCGCAACATCCCTAAACTGCGAGTTTCCTGACGGTGTCCCAGAAGGAAGTCCCTTCCTCGCATATTTGTCGCTGAACAGCTGAATGCCACCTGCAAAAACGACGCAGGAGTTCGTTTGGAATCCGGTAACAGGACCCATTCGACTGCCCGCCCATAATGCTTCGCCGCCTTTTTCGTTAGCATCGACGACTGCGTCCGCGCCAGAGTCATCGGTGGAATCGGCTGCGAAGCTCTCTGCGGGTTTGCGGAAGATGGGGAGTGTGCGGAGGATGGGGACAAGCATTGGGGTGCTGCCAAGCGCATGAGGAACGCCGGAGAGCCAGACCAGGAGGGTACCTAGGATGAGGATGTGAGATGACGGGGACATGGGTTGTGGTTCAAGTTGGGGGTTCAGAGTGAATGGGGTGGAATGAGATGAGTGGAGTCGTATGTAACGTGGCTGCTCTTGTATGCTATTCTTGGAGGATGAATCAATCTAAGCCGCAGGGGCAAAAACGTGAAAGCCAACTTAAGGAAATGAGATAAATAGTACAACCTCGTTCGAATAAGCCAGTGAACTAGCGTTCGTTTTCTCCTTCTTCATCCTGGTTCGGATGGGCGACATCTCCGAAAACTTGTTTCAATCTCCTGATCCGTGCAATGTATTTGAATAGTGCCTTGAGATTGTAAAAGTAGAAATGGGAGTCCTGAGGATGCCGATATCGGCAACATGGTAGGAGTTTGGGCCGTACGGGCCGCGGCACAGTGGGCAAAAGTGGCACCCTCCGACGAACAAGCTGACACGACGCGACTCGCAACTTGAAGGCACTTCGCAAAATACAAATATTACTTCCAGCCATTCTGCCTTTTGCCACCGGCAGGAGTCGCCCCAAAACATTTCTGCTTCCTACACTAGCTGGAGTACGGTACTAAGGCTAAGGTCGTGTGGCTGTGCGAAGAACCGAGCAATCACGAACGTCGAAGAACCAATACTCGACCAAGTGTAAACGAAATGAAGCAAGCCGCCGCCGCAGGCCAACGTTAGAGATCCATACAGGAAGGTGTCCGACGAGTAATTGCTATGTCAAAAACAAGACTAATACATAGCGAGTACTTTGATCAGCCAGATATCAATAATCGAGTGCTCTATTCCAACTCCAATGACATGATTACGAGCCAAGCGCTCAAACGGCACCGTTTTCTTTTCCAGAAGTAACCACTGCTTCGATTAACGCAACAACGAACTACTTGGTACGTATCGTGCATCAACACACTGCAGTGTGCACCAAAGCGAAAGCAGAAATATGACTCACTTTCGCGACTTGTTACTCAGGCTTGATTTATCGACATCGACAAGCATTTACGAATGTGACCTACCAGACTGGTGAGTCAAAAATCCTGGATGCAAGGAAAATTACTCGTACTCACGCTTCAAATTCTGCAGCTTCCTCCCCAGTGCAACGTCTTTCATGCAATTGGCAGCAAATGGTGCAGCACCCCTGGTAACATTGCGCACTGGCAAACGTAGATACAGTCAAAGCAACAAGGACGGCGAGGATCAAGGAGAAACGCATTGTGCGATGTGATAAGGAATCAATAACTCTGAGGGTAGGACGCCATGAAGGTTGCTGCTTTTATGCCCTCAAAATGGTGTTCTGGGCAGAACTTCCCGGTGAGAGTAAAAGCAAAACTTCTCAGCGAGAGCGTCATAGGCAGAACATATCCCCCTTCAAACGGACGTCGTTTACCGTGACATTCTCGAAAGAAAAAACTGACTTGTTCCATCACCGATAACGATGGAAGTGATTTACGAAGATAATTTACCCGTTGCCGCATACAGGGGCTGAAATGCCCGCATACCGTAGAATGATGCTAGTTCCGAAGGCAATGGACTACTTCCTAGTTGCCCGACGATCGCTCGAAGGAACGACATGTAAGTATTCTTCCAATTCAACATGCCTTATGCTAATGCTGCTTTGCTCCTGTTTACCAGTGTTAATATCATCAATGTTCCTCATCTCATCATCCTAGTCACATCAGCCACCTATCCAAGTTGATCCGGCCACAGAGTGGGAAATTTTCGATAGCACGACGCAGAAGGCGCGGAGGTAGCTGTGCGAACAACTGAACGATCCCGAGGAACGAAAACCAACAGGCAAACGGAATGATGCAGACCATGGTTAAACGAGATCGACACAGGCAGGTGTCCGATGAACGATATATTGCCTGTCAAAGCAGCAACAAGGGCGAGGACGAAGGAGTGATGTGATATGGGATCAATTGCTCTGAGTGTCGTTTGAGTTCTGCGCGAGCTTGCGAGTACAGAACTCAAACAAGTGCTTACTAATCGAGTGAGAACCCTAAACCGCGACGCGTGTTATCTTCTGACTTCTCGTTGCTCACTCGATTCTCGTTGTCACCCACCCACCTCTGCCGCATTGTAGTGTCTTGATGTTTTGGGTTGTGTCGTGTTCCCGAAAACGTTTCCCAATCCACCTCACACTCGAGGGTTTTTGGTTGCTCTCGTCCTGCGTTGCAGTTGTCTCGCTTTCTCCAGCATCGAGCTTCTCCGTTTGCACTTGATGTTGCGTGATTTGCACACGTTGCGTCTCAGACCTTCGAGTCACGTGACCCGCGAAGATCGTATTAGATGACAAATAGTTGACACGTCACGCGCACAAAATAGCGTGAATTTTCGGTCGGACCTATTTTGTAGCCTCAGCATTCGAACGAATAAAACAGTAAGCGGGGGCACGGTACGAGGACTGCTACTTTTATGTCTTGAACGTAGTAGTCTTCACGACGAGATCATGAGAAGAGCTGTTCCCTCTTTAAACAGATACCCTTTTGCCACCAGACCTCAAGTTGGGCATGCTCTGATTTCGATGTTCTGTTGGTGAGTTGGTGGTGTCGATGAGCGCTAGTACAAGGGTTGCTTACTAAGCAACGGCTCCAACGTTTTTTTCAAGTTCTTACGTTGCTTAAGCTTGCATTGAATTTCATTCGAGGCCGCAATTTAACGTTTAACCTCCTAGTAGCCTTGCAATTGTTGATGTCAACCTTGGAAGTCCGCTGGAACGTCAAGAACGGCCTGCCGCGTTCACTCACGAAGATTGGGACGGTGGGTAAGTAGTTTTCATAGAATGACCTCTGTTAGCTTGAAACCTCACCGACGAGCAGACTAACGCGAGAACTGTGCGTGTGTTCCTCTGTATCTCTGACGATGCTGTCCAATCCAAAAACCGTATCCGTCAGATCCTGATGAGCTCCTGGTTCACCACTCTCGACCACAACTAGATCCCGGATAGTTTCAAGTTCGAACTTTGACTCTGGATTGGACTGCGGCAGCACTGGTCATACTAGTTAGGTGAGCAACTCCGTCCTGCGCAATAGATACTCTGCCCACCTACGACTCGTCAGATGTAGAAACCACACCTTATCTCCACTAGTGGTGTTAGACTTCGCTTCCAATCCTGAGTCATCCTTGGTAAGCATCTTGACGGCGATATTCTTGACAGAGCGCACATTCTTCAAGAGGCGACATTGGCGAAGAGTCTCGAAGAGCTCACCTAATCATCAGGAACCAGAGATCTTTGTTCGTACGTATTCTCTATACTTATGACACTTCTGATAATGCTTAGGCAATGCCCAAGGATCGTGCTGATCGGAAGGAAGTGCAGATAAAGAACGAGTTGTTAATTGACAGGCCTGGTCTGATCCAGAACATGTTCTTCAAGAATGATCGACCGGCTAGAGATCATTCGAACACCGCGAGCACCTTATTTGAGGTCATGAGGCTTAATTTCGCTGAATTGGATATTGACAAAATCAACTCCGGGTCGTCCGAGATGTGATGCGCGGAGTTTGAACTTTCAACCACAAGTCAACGACAAGCAGGTCCCAGCATGGAGTAGAGAGAAATCATCCGAGTGTAAGTAGCGAGTCTCACTAATGTACACTCCACTCATCTGAATCGATAACAGGGGTAGTCGGGCAATCTTTAGGTGCATTTTCAAGAGTATGGATGGCATAGTATGCGGAACAGCATAAGCCAAAATATAGCCGATGGGTCTCCTTTCGGGTCAGTTTGAACCCGCTGACGCAGAGAATACGAATTAATTTTAGGTCAATTCCATATACGCAATCACTTCATCTCGGAGGATGTAACACATATTTTCTGGCAGGCAGGCAAACACAGATCATCAAGACAGATAGGCAGTTCGTCTACAACAACTCAGGGACACACCCGGTGGACAGGAATGTGAATACATATCTGCTCCAGCGGCGGCCTTTGTGCGTTTATTGAGACGGCATCATTTATCTTACGAAGTGACCAAGTTCATCACGCGCATGTTATTTTCTGCAAAATGAAGCTGGGCCACGAGGTTGTCTCTTCATCACCATGATCTCGAGGGTGTATATAAACATCTGCTGTACTCTTCATATTGCGACTCTTCTGTCGGTGACAGCTCATCTACCTGCTCACCTTTCAGCCCCACAGTACAGCCCAGCCATGCCATCGTCGAAATATAACCAGCTTCATGACGCACGTACTACAGTATACATTGACATTTTGCCAGAATCCAGCTCATTGCGGAGTCCATTCTCATCACGTTCGCGTACATCATCTTCTTCTCTATACAAGTCGCCTCAAGTTGTCACTGCATTCCACCCCTCTTCGAACACGCCGTGTCGCATGAGGGACATTGACTCCACAGTAACCTTCGCCTCGCCTTCTGTCGTCATTGCTAAGTCATCCTATATAATAATATTAGATGGCGCACCTATACACAGCGAGGATACGAAACTCGAATGTATTGGACCACGTTTCGCCGGGTCTATGAACCCTTCCAATGACGGTACACTGCTCTACAGAACAGCCTTAGTTCCCAAGTACTGGGAAATCTTGTGCAAATCCCCAGGTCTGTACTTTGTGACCTCGATGTGCTATAGTCATACGACGAATTCCCCCAGATCCCACCATATATAGCATCATTCAGGATGTGTACTGTCCTCCAGACCCAGCATCTCCCAGAAGGTCCTCAAGTCGCCCGCGCCCTGTTCTTATCTTTTCAGCTACATACCACTTCCGATACCCAGTCCCTGTGTGCACGCCCCCATCTTCCATACCACCATGCCTCACATATCAATCCAATCCACCTTTCATCGCAAACAGTGCTCACGCTTATTCCGATTCATTCGAGTCCATCTGTCCACAAAACTACCCTATATTTTCAAGCCTCTCAGATCAAGAGAGCCCTCAGTCGCACGAAGACAGCACGCAAAACCAGCTGTACGAGCACTTCGTATTGAACGTCAGCCCGGGCAACCTTTCCCTCCATGACTCCACAATCAACATTCATGACTCGCTTGTGGCCACATATCCGTCGACGATGGCACAGTCATCGTTTTCAAGCTTCCCGAAGGACATCCGTAATTATGTGAGTAACCGGTTCAATGAGGAAGTCTGCTGCTCATATCTTCGTCAGATCATGTAAAAAGTACACATGTAACTTGCATGTAACAGTAATATTAGCGCGTGTACTGTATACTTGTATCATTGTATGCTTGTTATCCTATATATGGAGGTCAGATAGGCAGGCTGCCTTCTAAACTGACTTTCCGCGGATCCTCGAAGGCCTTGGCATCGACCCGTCTAAAAGTGATAGGAAGTTATATTCAGAATAAACGTGGTACTGCTTCGGTGTGTGTGCTTGTTAATTTAGATATCAAAGTCCTCCGGTGGGGTTAGATCTGCCAGACTGAGTTTCTAACACCCCTGAAGGTCCCCCAAGGTTAAGTTGGCTCCCCTGTCTGATATGGAAATCAAGGGTGGTTAGCGTAGGGTCCAGTTCGAAGTTGATCGATGATTGCTCTCGCTTTCCATAACTGACAGCGATGAGATCCGACGTACATGGTGTTACGTTTTCCTGGCTTCCGTTGGCGGCTCATCTGGCGCTTATTGCAGGATGATCGATTATCCACCTGATGTAAAGTAGCTCCGTCATTATTGGATATGAAGAACTTCGCCGACAGCAGGGCTCTTATCTGACCCCCTGTAGGGTTACGACCCTTTGGTGCTATGTAATGAGAACTGAGGCAGTCAAGCTATAAGTAGTAGGTGGGTAGGTCCTAACCGAAGTTTAAAACCTAACCTAACACGCCCCGGGGCGGACCGTTCCTTCCTCTTGTCACATCCCACACCCAGTCGCCCCTGTCTCTTCTTCGAGCACGCAGAAAGCGATCCCCTAGTTGACTTAGGTATCTTGTGTTTTCGAACGCTGCATCCACTCGTCACTCACACGGTTCTTAAAGGCGTTCACCCACACCGAACTTGAATCCTTACGCATCACTCACATCGCGGGGTCCGCAAACCAGTTCTCTGACCTACTCGATACAACCGTGGCCCCATGAGGAGTTGAAGGCATTTTTGGCGCAGTGCAATCGTCTCAAGGAGGTGAAATGATGAGGACAGACGAGGCAGCGAGCCGAATACGTTGCCCTCATTCCTTCCCTCGAAGTAGCATCGTGAATACTTTGCATGACTTCATCAATTATTCGTGTAAAGACCCCAGATCGAATCAATTTTCCAGCCCATTCTAACTTTCAAGCGTACAAATCACAAGCGTCTGGCCTGATCGCACACCAATGCGGCTGAAGTGGGATGGCATTGATCCCGCGCTGTACCATCCTATACCGGACATCCTAGATTGTTCATCTGTCATTTGAGTACTTCGATATCTAGAAGTACCACTCACATGTAACCGAGGAAGTGCCTCGGTAACGTTTAGTGCGGCGCCAGTGGGCTGCTTGCCGCTCCAGAAAATCTCCGCCGATGATGCAGCACGCGGCCACACAATGGGGTCCACATTTTGGGGACCAGATTGCTCACTCCATAAAGCCTGCTCGCCTAGGATTGAGCAGAAAGTGTCAATTCGCATCACCTTGAGACTAAATCATGCGTGTTTACCTCCGAGAACAAGTCCGTACTGCGCCTCGGTCAAGTTCGCCAACGGGTCGAAGGTATACGCCTAACAAATCGTGAGATGTTGGTGATCCGGCAGAATCATGAGGCAGTAATTACCTCGGACCAGGTCTTGAAGGGATCGCACCAGCTATTTCTGTTCTCCCGAGGCATGTCAGCTCAGATCGAGTACAATCCATAAGATGAGGACTAACCCAGCTGGGTCGTCTCCCAGCCATTCACCGGCACCACAATCCTAGGGTCATGATATAAGGATGACGCGTTGTGCAGGAAGAACCCATCAACTAACCAGGTAGAAGTAATTTGATGGTGCTTGGACGATCCTGAAGCCCCTTTCTGCCACTGCTGCAGCATCCGCAGAAGAAATCCAGACCCTGTCGGCACACTTAAATCAGCAGAACCAGATCATGCTACAAATATACTGACATCACGATAGTCTCATTGGAGAGCGTGATGTTCCAGTTGAGGACCATTTCTGAATGACCGCCTCCATTCAGTACCATCATTCAAAAGGAGAAACAACGCACACCTTCCCATACGACCGGCGTCTTTCCCTCAGCAATCAGTGCGCCGTGAGTAGTCTGTGTAAACGCGTCCAGAGCACCATTCAGCGTCATGCCGGTGCTGTTGAGCTGCTGCTGCGTGAGGTAGTCGTTGGCGTAACAGTTCGTGTTCAATTCATCGCCGCCAGTGCTGAAGTAGTACGAAGGTAGGGTCTTTGCGACATCGGAGAGCATGGAAGCAGTGAAGTTGATAACCTCGGGGAGTGCGAAACGAAGCTGGCCAGCAGGGGGCTCGTTTGCGTACTGGGACCACGGCGTAGCGTCAAAGCACGCGACGTATTCGGGGTAAGTGGCTGCAATAATGGCGGTGTGGCCGGGTGTATCGATTTCCTGGCAAAACAATGAGTTTTTTTTGCAGAATCTACTAATAGATACTGACCATCATAACATCAATACCTCTCTGCGGGACGTCCATAAGCGGACAAATGACGGCGATAAAGGGAAAGACGTACTGCAGCAGCATACTGGACGATGTATTGTACATCACTCGCGGTGTAAACCTCTTGAGCAGAGTATGCACCATTCATAGCCAGCTCGGGGTACTGTGCGATTTCGAGCGGGAAGCTCTGACTGTCTGTGATATGCCAGTGGAAAGTGTTGATCTGTCTAGCGTGTCAGCAACCATAAGCCAACAAGTTAGGGAAAACACTCGCCTTGACCCAGCTCATCGCGTCCAAAGTTCGCAAAATATCAGCGACGGGGTAGTAGTTCCTCGAGGTATCCAGTGCTAATCCTCGGAAGGGCTATGCACATGAGTTTCAGCTAGTATCAAAGTTTACATGATTACTGCTCACATATGCAGGAGTGTCCGTGATGACAATTGGGGCCAGCAAAGTGTAGGTTACTCCTCCATAGTAGTAGAAAAGCTGATTGAAAGTAGTGAGCCCTCTGTACAGACCCAAGGTCGAGTTCGCCGTCAAAGTAGCAGCCGAGCCATCTGCTGGAATCGTCAAGGCATACTCCTCGCTACGGGTGCCTAGAGGCTTCACAGCTTCAGAAGCAATGGGCTCTGCAGCAGCACTGCTCGTGAGAGACAGCGTTAACTTCGAAAGGATTTTCGCGCTAGCAAGCGCGGTAGTATCATTTGCCCCACGTCCGACGACGAGACGTCCAAGTTTGTCGTTTTCGAGATAGTATTGCGATTGTGAAACTGCCTCGTGTAAATCCGCCGGCGCGCTTGTAACCTGCACATCAAAGTAGAATGTAGGGGAGATTGTGACGGCGGTCATCCCTGTCTCAAGGGTAGTTGGGATTGGCCAGAGAGCCAGGACGCCAGAAGGCAAACGGCATCCAGCGACAAGCGTCAGGATGCCAACGTAGCGAGAAAAGGCCATGAATATCGTGCGGATTGAATACGCGACTGGTCCAACTGCTGTTTTATAAAGGCTCAGCTGAGGGGATCATGTGGATTTGCAACATGCGCGTACGTACCTCTAAAAATAATGACCGACTTCGAATCGACACGACGTGAGAGCGTTTGGAGGAGAGTGTTACGTATTTGCTTTGCATCGTCCAGCGTGGCAGTGGATAATAGCTTTGGCGGGTGTTACTCAAACCATGCACTGATAGAGGCTAATATCTGTGCGACCATGTCATACGGATGGGCTTAAAGCTGAAACATTGACCACCGATGCTCATGATCAGACTCTAGCACTCATAGGTGAGAGCCGCGTTCAAACGGCACGTAAACGCGTCTACTGTAGAGATACGACACTAGCTTCGTCACGTGCAGCACGTGACACAGTCACACTTGGTGTCACAGCTTCGAATGACCCTGTGACCTGTGACCACACAAAAAATAGCTTCGCAAATTGTGATTGCTGCACCTTGGCTTCCTGTCTGATTCATATATTATTGTAAAGCTGAGAAACAACAGGTAGAACCTAGCTCGGCATTGTTGTTTTTATATGTTTTCTGTATGTTTTTCTGTATGTTTTTACCATATGTCACAAATTAGCTTCGGTCCCCAAAAAATTGGTGTGACAGTCACACCAAATAGGTTCGATTCGTCGATGGCTGTGACCCGTGACGAACCTAGTGTCGTATCTCTACAGTATCGCGTGACTTCTTGTGACATACACGTGATGACGCACGGGAATTTTCAGTGATGAGTTGTTCAGAACTTGTTCTTTGACGTGGACTATGTTTTTGTCGGACGGTTCCGTCTGGCAAATCCACTGCTTGATGCTTGATAAAACCATCAAGCAAAACAAGAATGATATGCAGGCGAGACGAGAGCAAAGGTAGGAACGGCATATTGTCCAATGTTCAAGCTTAAGAGGTGGGTGCCACAAATTCCGAACATTCGCGTTACTAATAAGTCCGGTATAGTATGTTCCTGCTTCTTTGAATCTTTTTATATAATAGTGGACGAGCTCCAGCGTATTCTTGGTCGATTTGCGAACTGGAAAGGAAAGCCGAGCGCCTGAAAGTGCAACAAACGTTCAGAACACGGGGGGCCCAACGTCTACATTGGCATGCTGATGGGGCGCTACCGAGTATTCTGTCGCGCTGATACCAACGCTTATCATCTGGCCAGTCTTCTCCGTGTGGACGGTCACGACCGCTCTTTCAAAACAGCCAGAGCGGGAAGTGTAACAGCTGCGTCAAACGTTGTACATACGCTAGTGCAACTGATGATCAAACTCAACATCTACCGTACCGCCCATTTTGGTATACTATTTTTTCCGTGGGTTTGCATATGGGTTTAATGTTTCTGTTTAACGCTGCGTCCAGAACTTTGCTGTATGTCTAAAATCCGTGGGCGCTGAACGTCATAGCGTAGAAATACGCGAGTCCTCAGACCACGCCCGCGCCGTTGACCAACAATTCTTGTTTGAACAGTACCTCGTTTACTGCGGATGGTTTGTCTTGGAATCATTATGCCTGATTGTATACCATCGAGGCGAAAGATGATTGTCATCTCATTGCCTGTCAGACTGTCGCAGATGTGGTCTTTTCAGCCCGCACTCCTGAAGGAACTTCCCGCGTTATTTGCCATATAAAGTCACGGTCGCCGTTCACAGCGGCTTGGTTTCCTCTGCTTCAATCACTGGTCATTCTATGCGTTCAGACTGAGCGTCCCGCCTGCACGGATCAAGGTTATTGGAGGCTAGTGCTGCGGCTCATGGGAGTATTACTTTGGCAAAAATCCTAGTGCTGCACTTTCATGGGCGCTGCGTGCATGAGTCGTGGTAGTCTCCCTAGGTCAGACCTTGAAAAAAAGGAAGACAAGGCCTTCCCTTTCAAGAGTTGTTGTGTAATATGATAGGTTACTTCGTACGCCTCTCCCATTGCACTGCTCAGTTCTTGTAATTCATTGATCTTCATTTTCCGTTACCGCAATAAGCCGGCCCTAGGCCTCATGCTTGGCCGTGCAGCTGTACAGGCGCGCGCAGCTCCATTATCAATCAGGGTGTATCTGGCTGTGCAAATCGATGGAACACTGATTGATTGATCGATGGATGGTGGAATTACTGCGTTTTGCATCGGATTCGCACCACGCTTAGTATCCTATGACAACCGATGACTGAGGCAGAGAGCGAGGAGGTGCGCACAAGGTGACAGATGCTAAGGCTGAGGAGGAACAGGGGGGTTAGGTATTGCAAGGTATGTTCGGAGGGGGCTTTGGCAGCCCTGTGAGTTGTATGTTTATTTCGTTTGGAACTCGTTTTTCATGTCTGAATTTTGTGGTGTGATGCCGACAGAATATGACTTTGTTGAGTGACTTCGTACGAAAATTTGACGATCCTTTTGGTGGGGTTTGCAGTCCTGGATGTACAGTCCTGAGATGGGCGAAAAGACGTATTCATGAAGTATCTACACTCAATAAAATGTGTCTGGGAGGTCAGGATGAGCACGAGAAAATGCCTGAGAATGTATGGTAAGTGCCGGCGAGGCGAGCACGCTCCCAAGACGGTTACCGTGAATTCGTGGTTGCTGGCCAGGCATTGGAACTGCAAACCCGAGCGGAGTTGGGACCACCGCACACTGGAAAATCGACGATCCTCACTGCTCAGGTGAGAAATTTGCAGTCCTTTCGAATCCCGCTCGGCAACGCTCATCCGGACTCCGCACGGTGGCGAAATGTCGTGCAAGCTCTCTGCAGCGCGAACGCACGGCAGGAAACGCTTCGGAGGCTCAACGAAACTACATTTTCGACCGCTCTACCTACGCCGACCGTCCCCAGACCTTTCCGTCCACAGCTCGTCCCAGACGCGACTCCTTCGAAGTTCGAACCACCACCTCCGCCCCCTCCGCTTTTGGCAACGATTAGGTAATCCAGTGCAGGACCCCGTGATCAACTCTACTTTGGAGTTGTTACTATTATTACTACGCTCCCCGAGTCCGCAGCGATGCTGCAACAGCTCATTTCGGCGATGAAAGCGCCGGACGGTGGTATATCTAGCACAGATGCCATCGTGATATGCCCATCAAACTTGCCACTCGCTCACACCCATCCTCGGATCGTATGACCGTAGTCTCAGATGCGACCAGTTGGTGGCCGGTCATCAATTCAACTCGTATTTCCAGCTATGTTGTAGGTTCGTGAAGGGCCAGTCGGGTTATCTCGGTCTAACATTAGCTGCGCTTTCGCAGTTGCTGGCTCTGCTGGGGTCATGTACGATTGGTGTAAGCAAGGTACTACTATTAAAGGACGACTGATACCCATATGGTAATTCCAGTACTGAGAGAGAGAGAAATTCTATATTTATATACCGCAACAAACAAAGTGAGCTGTTAAGACGCGGTGCCCTGTTAGGGCTGTGCTGGGGAGTGTTGTAACAGGGTGAGGGATGTAGGTATAGTACGAATAGCCAAGCGGTCCGCGTTTGATGAGTTTTGGTGTGCGTGTGGGCTCGTTTGGTGTCCAGGCTTAGTATAATATGATACACTTTCTCTCCTTCCTCCTCCTTCTGATCTCTCCTCGTCTCCTCCTTCCCTCGTCACTTCCTTCTTTGCCCTTACTCAGGCTTCTGTCCCTCTCCTTTCTTCCCAGTCTCCTTCTCGTTCCAGTGCGACCTTCTTGAATGCGCTGGATTCTTGAATAAACTTCGCTAGTGCCTTTATGCCCTTCTCCGTACCCAAAATTTCGTTGAGTATGATGTTGTGTGATACCTCACGCAGATGGATGCGTTGTCGCGCAAATAGTGGGCAGTCACGTATGATATGTTCTCGTGTTTGACGTGGTTCTCCACATGGGCAGAGGGTGGGTTCGGTTGGAACGAATGCAGCGTAGTATTCTCCCATGAATCCGTGTCCTGTGCGGCATTGTATAAGACGGCCGTATACTTCTCGAGGAGTGTGAGTGAAATGTTGGCGGGGTTTGAGCGTTGGTGGGAGTCGATTTGCGAGAGCGAAGCGTCCAGTCTGTGCTGCCACGTCTCTATTCCAACTCTCTGTCCATTTCTGCAAGATCCCTTCCTTGTTTCTTCGGCGCGCATTTGCATAGGTCGAGTGGTACGAGTCGTTACGTCCAGTGGCTTCTTTTGCAAGCTCGTCGGCACGTTCGTTGCCGATGATGTTGTGATGTCCTGGGATCCATGCAATTTGGACATGATGGAGGGGGGATGTGGTTAGGTAGTCTTCGATCGAGCGTCTGATCTGTAATGCAATGTATTGTGAGGGTCCGGGTGCAGCTGCATATGCAGCCTGCACCACAGAGTTGTTATCGACGTAGAAATGTAAATGGGTCACCTGGGAATTTTGCGCGAAGCTGATAGCTCGCGATATTGCTCGAAGGAGCGCTACCATCTCTGCATCATACACCTCTGCTTTGGGACCCATTCCTTCCTGACCCCAGAAGACTTCTCTTCCTCTGTGATAGCCGGCCCATCCTGCTCCAGCTCTTTCCTCCTCTCTGACTGATTGTTTCGATCCGTCTGAGTAAACGAGAAGGTGCGTGTCCTCCGTTCGTAGATTACGAGCGGTTTGTATGTGCGCTTTGGCGGCTTCTTTCTTGCCTCCTCTTTGCTTGTCCGAGATCGTTAGGCGGCCGCGGTACGTTTCCTTCGTGTTTGCCCAAGGTGGCAGCGCAAATATGTTGATGCGTTCCGCGTTCGGGGATGCTCGTTTTGACAGACGGGTGAGTCTGGTCGATTTTGGTGGTTTGCGGCTGCGAGGACGGTATTTGTCGGTGGGAAGAGCGGGTGGGGGGGTCAGCGAGGTTAAATTGTCGCCAGGGTTGATCAAGTCTCTGTAGGATTGGGTTGAACGAGGGGAGTTTGAGTAGTCGAGTGGCGGCGTTATCGTTTGCGTGTTCGAGGAAGAGGTTGATGGGGGGGATTGATGTCTCTATTTCTAGGGCCTTTATTGGGGTGGTTCGGAAAGCGGCACAGATATGTCTAAGGGATTTGTTTTGGACGCGGGTAAGCATGTTTGCATGGGTTTTCACGCCCGTCCACCAAACGGGGCTTGCGTATGTCATTACACTGCGGACACAAGCCGAGTATACAGTTCTCAATAGTGATTGCGAGAGACCTCTTACCGTATTTGCAAGCATTTGTAGTCCTTGGGCGATATTTTCCGCTTTGCCTGCCAGTTCACATACATTCCTGCGAAAAGAGAGTTTAGAGTCGAAATATATACCAAGCCATTTGATACAGTCACGGGGGTTAATTGTCACCTGTCCTTCGTCACTAGGCAGCAGGATAGGTGGTCGATCCGGTGCACGACGCCATGTGAAATGGATGAGCTCAGATTTGTCAATTTCCGCCATCAGTCCAGCTTCGCGAAGCCAATTGTTCACAAAAATGAACTCCTCCCGGAGTATTGCGACATTGTTCTCCAAGGATGGAGAGGAGACATATAAGTTTCCATCATCGATGTAGCATGCTAATGTGGTCGGTGTGGCTTTGTCCGGGCGTAATTCACGAGCTCGAGTTTTCGCATTGTAGGCTTCGTTTAGTGGGCTTGTGCAGATAATCGAAAGGGCCGGTGATATTGGGGATCCTTGAGGTATACCGTTTTCGACTGGTTCCGATGGTGACAGTACTCCGTCCAGGCAGATTGCTGCTTGTCGTTCGCTGAGGAAGGATTTCACCCACTTTACCATAGGGAGCGGTAGGTGCTTGTCCCGAAGTATTCGGAGTAGCCGTGTATGATTGACGAAGTCGAAGTATCCTTTGATGTCGAATGTGATGCACGACGTGACAAGTCCGTGATTACGGGCTGCTTCGATATCATGAACGAATGATAGGGCTGCGTCGACTGTGGAGCTTCCTGGGCGACCTCCGAACTGTGAAGAAGGTACCAGCAGATATTTTGCTGTGAGATATGCTAATCTACTTGCCTGTACGCTTTCGAGGACTTTTCCAAGACATTCCTCTAGCTGGATTAGTCTATAGGCTCTCGGGTTCGAATAGTCTGGTTTTCGGGGCTTGCGCAGGGCTACTGCGATTGTGCGTCGCCAGGCGATGGGATGGTAGCCTACATTTGCGCAGCGTGAGATTAGTAAGTAGATATATTCCGATGCAACCTCCCAGGCCCATCGGAGAGCCATGTAGTTGATTTGGCTGGGTCCAGGAGCTTTTTTGCGATTTGGTCGGTATATACCATTCTTCACTTCGGCATATGTTATGGGTTCCCATGGGATGTCATCCGGGAGGTCCTGTTCTAAATCTGGTGCAGCTAAGTCTAGATTCGGGGGCGGTTGGAACAGTTCACCTCGTAGTGTAGCACACTTTTCCTCATGTGTTATTGCCATGTTTTGACCGTTGTTTCGTCTGAGTGGTGGCGTGGGGTAGTTTCTTATCCCTTTGGGCCATCGAGTGAAATTCCAGACGTCATCGGGAGTGGCTTTTCCCAGAGTCTCGTTTGCCCACTGTCGTTTAGCAAGGCGTGTCTTCCGTTTGAACTGATTGCGTAGTTGGCGGATCTGTTGGATAAGGTCGTGGTCAGCAAAACCTGTATCGATGAGATGTTGTCTAGCCCTTTCACGAGTTTCTGCAATGCGGTTGAGTGATTGCGTGAGGTCGGGAGTCCACCATGGTTTCGCATGTGCACTAGATTTGCGGATGGGGACCGAGCTTTCTGTTGCTTGCACCAGTGCATCTTGTAGTGCTGTGGTAGCTCTTTCAATATCATCAATATTAGGAAGAGTTGAAACGCGTAGCGGTATCCATGCGTCTTCTCTATCCGTCAGTTCTCTCATGAACGCTCCTTTCCATGCTTTGATCGTGTCTTCATCGATATCTTTCCAATTGAATCGTTGAGCCGTGATATTCTCGATGGGGACACGTTCATGGTCTAGTGTCCATGTGAGCGCTGCGTGGTCTGATCCGTAGGCTTTACCGTAGTCGATTGACCAGTCCTTGATCGTGTCGAGTTCGTATGCTCTGTCGTTGATGAATGTTAGGTCCAAGACCGACGAGGATTCACCGTCGTGTGCGAAGTATGTTGTTGCCCCACGTTCGTTTAGCATGATGAATCCCTGGTCAGTTAGCCAGTCAACGAAAGCTTCTGCACGAGGATTGGGGTTCTCAGCTGTGTTTGACCACATTGGGTGGTGTAGGTTCATATCTCCCGAGATGATGACCGGTATTCCGTTTGGTAGTTCGATGTTGAAAAGACGGTCTGCTGACCAGTTCAATGGATCCTCGCCTGCTTTCTGGTTGTACATATTTACAAGTATTGTAGGCGGATGTGTTCCTTGGTTGATCTGTAAAATTTGTATGTCAGCATCCATTGCGAGATCAGAACGAAGGGTAACCATGAAGTCAGGTCTGTTTTTGATGTATGCCATGACTCGAGGAATGACATTCGGGGGAACAGACGGTAATGGTAGGATTGGTTGCCATCCGGTTAACGACGCTGGGCCCTTTGTGTTATTTCCGATGTCACCATACCATGGTTCCGTTATGAGCAGGATGTCATAATCACGGACGGTGTTGTTGAGTAATGCGTGGCAGACTATATTTGAACGGTTAGTGTTGAGTTGAATCATTTTTATGGGTTTAGTATGGACTATCATTGCCATCCATCCATATTGTTGTCGTTCATTGGTTGTGGCGTTACGATATGGTTCTGGGATGTTGATGGTGGGGTTGGAGTCCGGGTCTCTGGAGGTGCTATTGGATTGTTAGCAGTTTGAGGTCGACGTGCGCGTCGTCCCCCTTGGATACTTGGTCGTGGGTCTCTTGCAGATCCTTTGGTTAGTATATGAATGGGGCATTTGGTTGAGTCTGCCGTGTGCGCTTCTCCACAGTTTGCGCATTTAATCGGTGAGTGATCACATCCTTTTTGTGCTTTGGCCGTGTTAGGGCACAAATCGCAGGTATGGAATGATTCAGTGTGGTCGCCTGCACATACTCGACACTTGGGGGGGTTAATACATTTGGACGTATGATGGTCGAAGGACCAGCATCGGTTGCACTGACGAACAGGTTTCAAATCTTGGAAGCGCGAGAAAGAGGCGTACCGTCCATATAAGAAGACTCCACCGACGTGTTTGAGAAGGTAGTCGATTTCTTCCTGTGATGAGACCGTTAACAGCATGGTTGAGTGGTATTTGTGTTCAAGGGTCTCCGGCTTCGCCATCCACGAGGGTTCTGCCGTGAAGTTGATGTTGCGTACACTGGGGTTGTTAGTTTTCATCTCATAGATTACTTCTGCTCCGGATCGTGGTTCGAATTCCATCATGTCTTCGGCATCGGACTTCCCTGTGTCTACACTGTTGAGAAGAACACGGAACCATTCCTTGTCTGGTGTGGCTGCGTAGTTGGAGTTTCCGACAATTAAGTCTGCGAAGGCGTCTTTGAATGGAAGCAAGTCATCTGCTGTGTAATCCGGATGTGTAATAATGATACAGTTACCTTTGGTGTTCCATTTTATGCCGTTGACCGTAACTTTCGTGACCTCCTTGAGTCTTTCATTGATCGCTTCTACTAATCCTCGGTCTTTTTGGCGTTGTGTAGGGTCCGGAGGAGTTTCGATGTGGAGAATGAGTCTAGAGGGGTGGTGTCGGGTTAACGGGTTGTTTCGGCGTCGGTTCTCTTGTTCTGTTATCTTAGTTGAGTTTGTCTTGGTCTTCGGAGTAGGAGTTATGGTGGGGCCATTTGCGATTTGAGTACGGGGGTTTTGACTGGTTTCCGGTTTATTGCCTTGTCGTAGTTCCTGGACATCTTTGACGAGTTGGTTGAGGATCGGAATTATGTCATCAGGATTGTTTCTTGGTGTTTCAACCGGTTTAGGGGGTAGGATGGCCTGTGTAATTCTTTGAGCAGCGGTAAGTATGTTATCTGGGAACTTAGCGTGGATTGATATGTTGTCTAATGCCTCTGCGGCTTTGATAAGATGATGGTTTAAGTCAGTGATCCATCCTTGCTCCGAACGGGTTTCACTGTAGATGTCCGTCTCCATTTCCGAGTCGTATTCGCGTTGGGCTACATTGTTTACCATAGCCACGTGTTCTGTAGGACGGCGTTTGGTCTGTCTCGCGGTGTTTGGTGAGGCCGATGGAGAAGTGGTTGTTTCCAGTCTACGTTTGTATCCTAACCCTCTACGTGTGGGTGTGATTGGCATGTAGCTGGCATTGGTTGGTCTGTATGGGAATTCTGGGGGTGGGAGGGGATCGTTGGGCTCTGATTCATCCCACGCCCGACGTTGCTGGAACTCCTTCATATGTTGTCTGGTGTTACTAAGGGATGCTGCTTGTGAATATGTTCTTGCTGATATACGTTTGTCAAGGTTTCTAGCTATGCTTATACTGCCTCCTGGCTCGTCGCCCATGTTCTGTTGAACCGTGGGAAAAAAGCAGATGGTGGCGGTTAAAGGTCAAAAAATGCTCTAATTCCAGTACTGACATTTGGACAAGAAGTAGGTTGATACCAAGTTGATACAGTACCGGAGCAGGCATCTCACTAAGAATGATTTTTTAGGTTGAACTAGTCTGGGTGAGCAGAGCGCCACATCAGGAGGACAAGAATATACAATTGATTCACGGCAGAGGCAACGCTGGTCCCTCATGACTATTCTGTATCTCAGTGTACGTAGCTTGCGTTATCTGTGTGGTTGGAAAGTTGTGCTGACTGGCAGATACTACCCTAGGCGCGCTATTTTGGAATATTATATACTGCGTATGTTTGGAATGCTCAGCAGTTAGTGTTGTACTAATCAGCCATCTCTCATAATCAGCATCAGCATATTTTGTATGTCTCCTCACATACACTGTTGTTTTTCCTGACCGGCGCCATAAAGTTTGCGTTCCGACAATCTCGGTGACAGATGAAGTGAGTATTGTGCACCTGTGTCTGCCATTCCCGTCCAATTATTTGCACTCGCCTGTAGGGGTGAGTGAGATTCTCGATTAGCCCGTCGGTTCAATATAATGACTGCCGCAGCTGTGAGTCTGTTTGGAATGCCTCCAGAGGCCGACCACTAAATGAATTCGTCAGGCCTTATGATGTACTTCGCGCTAAATTGGACGAATGTCGTCGTATCTGCAATACTGGGCGGTGAGCTAGTACACACAGCTGCAATGCCTAAGTGATATTGACTTCACTGAAACATCATGCAAGTCATCATGATCACTCGGTTACATGCCATGTATCAGAGATCCAGAAAGATGCTGACGTCTCTCGTTGTCATCTTCCTGGCTATCAACATCGTCAATGGAGTAATAACCGCAATATCAGTGAGGCGTATTTCGGGGGGTAAGCTATAATTATGGATGAAGGTGTATCAGGCTTGTTGACGAATACCAGAGGAACTTATTCTCTCCGGCACCTATCAGTGCAATATTAACTTTGAGGGCGATATCCTACTTCTGGTTTCCATGACTTCAACATTGCTCATGACTGTATGGGAGGTTCTCACACTGGGTCTTGCAGCCTCAATTGCTGTAAAACACTTGCGTGAACTTCAACGACCATCGACAGAGTGGATTACCATTGGGGACTGTTTTGCGGTGTTAATGAAAACTCACGTGGTTTACTTTGCGAGGTGAGCTCATATTGTGAATCTGGTTCTCGTTGTCTGCTGAAGTTCCGTACATGCTAGCTTTGTTGCTGTATCTTGCTTCGAGCTCGGTCGTTTGTCTCCAACGATCTCAACGGTATGCTGATCTGTCACTGGCCTCCGTATGCGACCACGGTTCATCATTTCTATAGGAAACAAATTCTCTGATTTATCTGGGTGTTTTCCAATTCTTCTTGCTCGTGCAGATGGTTGTTCTGGGACCACGCCTCATTCTTAGCGTTCGAGAATATCACACTAAGCTTGTGGCCGACTCTGATGCTGGAACAGGCATGACTTCGATTGTTTTCCAGGAACGCGTGCATGTGTCAACTGGCAGTGGAGTGTAGGCTACACGGGATGTATGTATTTGATGTTATTAACACTTGTCGGGAATTACGTTCGAAGTTTCGTCCTGGTACATGGTGTCGAAGTAGTCTGGTATTCTGAAGTGTCGTTGAAAGAGACATAAGCTGACTACTCACCTGGACTTGCATCAAGTAGCAAGCTGAATCCATGTCGAATTCGGATATTTCACTTTTCTGTGTCCCTTTTTTTCAAGCTAGACACCATTTTCCACCAGGCGTCTCTGTTAAAAACCTGGCTTGTAGTATTTGAAAATATTATGGGGTTCCCTGCAATGTAGCTGTGAAAAGTGTGAACGGGGCATAGCCATACAATAGCGGGGCCCGAATGTGTAGAGTAGGCTTATCTTAGCACATCAAACGACGTCAAAAATCATCATCTCATCCTCCCCTAACATCGGTTCGTCTGCTCGACTATGATGTCCGTCTTTCTGGAACAGTCTCGTGGCTTCAGCAAGTTGGGATGAAGCATTACATACATAGTGTTTCGAACGCAGGGAGGTCGGCTTGTGCACACTGCAAACTCGAGCCCAGAGGTAATCAACTAATAAAGGTGAAAGGGAGCACGCAGGGCGACAATGGAGGGGAAGGGCGCAAATTGGCAACACTGGAACATAGCGGTCTCGTGACTCGTCAGGAATAGATGGTAAAGCTGAACTCCAAGGTGCAGAATCCCAACGAATGCGCCCATGCTGTCGTAACTCGTCTCCAAGCCGTCTGTGGTGAACCGTGGCTACCAGCCGTTGTACAATGACGCCTTCAGAAAATTGGTAATGAAGATTTCAGGAGAACGAATGTGGTGTGTGCTGGTGGAATAATGAGCATAGCAAAACGAGTGTCGAGTACTGACCGTGGAAGTGTTTTCGTCTCATATACTTTGACGTTGCCAATCCATTCATGAGGATGAAAAACAGGATGGATGAGGTCGAGTACGTCGATCATACTAGTTACTACTACGACCGCGGCATGAGTGAATCAGAAACCTAACCAATGAACGAATAAAATATTTTCCGGATTTTCGTCAATTTCTCGCGACGCTCAGTCAGGTCCAACGAAGCGGCTCAGAAGTTGGGTGAAATCCAGTTCAACAGAGTGTGTTCGAGGAATGTTCGCTTACGTAGCTTACTAATATTGGGGTGCGTATGGGCGCTTCCGTCGCCTATTTATAGAAGGACTGAGTACTTAGGTTGACAGCAACTACGTCCACGATGGAGCCGCGTTCAGACGAAGCGAGAGTACTGGTGATATACGCAGGCGGGACCATCGGAATGCTCATTAGCTCACGACTCTCACGAGGTTACATTCCCGAGCCTCATTTCCTCACCGACATCCTGCGGAACCAACAACGCTTCCATGATCCTTTGCAAGGCTCTTTCTCTAATGCTGCGTCCATCTAAAGCCATAGAGAGCGGAGCAACAGCGGCAAGTCTACCCTAACGAGTTCAGATAATGTCTTGACACTGCCGGCATCACCTCAAACCACCCTTCTCGTCAGGTCGTCACACCCAATTGGTAGTATTAGCACCAGTACCGCTTGTCTCCATCTACATCGATATCCTTGCAGATTCAGAAAGCGATTGAGCACCCGGAATTCAGAAAATTTGCTGATGGTATCTATGGACGCGCCTACCATGTCTTGTAGTAACCCCCCGAAGCGTCGTTCCTGGACATAGCTATACCAAACGCACACGATACGCAATCCTTGAGGTCGGTAGTAATTCGTCTTCACAATTCAGCCAATAACTGAGCAAACTGTGGAATCCACTCCTTGATAGTAGCAACATGGAAATAGACGGTGCTTATTTTTCACATTCCTCTTTATATTTCTCCAGTTCATCATTTTGACCAGGACAGATTGGACCCGTATAGCCGCAGAGATCGAGCTAAACTACACGTCCCTTGATGTATTTGCGGTACTAAATGGAACCGATATAATGTCATATTCATCTAGCGCATTCAGCTTCCTGTTCGAGGATTTCGGTAAAACTGTAGTACGTCTCACATCCGCCAATACATAACCATCCTCACGGGACATGGCTAGATCCTTACTGGTGTTCAAATAAGGGGTTAGGGAGTCAGCAATCGATTATCGCGAAGAACCAACGGTGACCGACCAAACGAAATGGGGCAGGCCATCGTTACACGAGATTCCGGGAGGGTGTCCGACGAGCGGTTGCATGTTATGTCAACTACAATATTAATACGTAGTGGGTGCTTCAATCAGATATCATAATGAGTGCTCCTTCTATTCCAAGGTCTCCATTGCTCAAACGGTATCGATTTTCTCTCCAGAAGCATCCACCTCGATCAACGCAACAACGAACCACTTGGTACGTATCGTGCATCAACCACATTGCACTAATGCGAGATATGACTCACTGTCATTGCGACTTGTTACTCAGGCTTGACTTATCGACACCGGCAAGCATTTACTAATGTAACCTATCAGGCTGGTGAGTCAAAATCCTAGGATGCAAGGAACATTACTCGTACTCACGCTTCGATTTTATCCCTCTCCAGTGCAAAGTCTTTCATGGAATTGGTAGCAAATGGAGCAGCACCCTTGGTAACATTGCGCATTGGAAAACATAGATACAGTCAAAGCGACAAGAACAACGAGGATCAAGGAGAAACGCGTTGTGCGATGTAACATGGGATCAGTAACTCTGAGGGTAGGACACCACGAAAGGTGTTGCTTTTATGCCCCAAAAATGGTATTCTGTGCAGAACTTCTCAGCCAGAATATCAGAGGCAGAACCTATCCCCCTTCAAACGGACGTCCTTTACATCCTCGAAAAAAAACACTGACTTGTTCTATCACCGATAATGATGTAAGCGGTTGACACAGATAAATTTCCCGCTACCGCATACAGGGGCTAAAATGCCGGCATACCGTAGGATGATACCAGTTCCGAAGGCAATGGATCACTTCCTAACGCCTGACGATCACTCGAAGGAACAACGTGTAAGTATTCTCCCAATTCAACATGCTTTATGCTAATGTTGCTTCGCTTCTGTTTGCCAGTATTCATGTCATCAATGTTCCCCATTTCATCCGAGTCGCCCTAGTCACATCAGCCACCTATCGAAGGTATTCGGGCCATAGCAATAGCACTACACAGAAGGCGCGGAGGTGGCTGCGCGAACAACCGAACGATCGCGAGGGACGAACACCAACAGGCAAACGGAATGATGCAGGCCAGGGGTAAATGAGATCGACTCAGGCAGGTGTCCGATGGACGATATATTGCCTTTCAAAGCAGAAACGATGGCGAGGAAGGAGTGATGTGATATGGGATCAATCACTCTGAGGGACACGGCACGAGCACTGCTGCGTTTATGTGTTGAACGTAGTGATCTTCACGACAAGATCGTGAGAAGAGCTGATCCCTCTTCAAACAAATTATGCCACTACACCTCAAATCAGATTTGCTCTGATTTAGATGTTCTGTTGGCGAGCTGGTGGTGGCGAAGGAGTCGATGAGCGCTAGTACAAGGGTTGCTTACTACACAACGGATCCAACATTGTTCAAGTACCTTGCTTAAGCCTGCTTTTTTTTTTCACTCCAAGCCGCAGTTTAACCTCTTGGTAGCCTTGGAATTGTTGATGTCAACCTCGGAAGTCCTCTGGAACGTCAAAAACAGCCTGCCGCGCTCACTCATAAAGATTAAGACGATGGGTAAGCAGTTCTCATAGGAGTTGTGTCAACTTGAAACCTGACCAATGAGCAGACAAAAGCGAGAACTGTGCAAGTGTTCCTCTGCATCTCTGACAATGCTGTCCAATCCAAAAACCGTGTCCGTGAGATCCTGATGAGCTCCGGCTCCATCACTTTCTCGGCCAGGTCTGTATCCTGGATAGTTTAGTTGAATGATGATTCTGGACTGGACTGACATTAATCAGGTGAGCGATTGTGTCCTGCGCAATAGATACTGTGCCCACCTACGACTCGCCAGATGCAGAAACAACACCTTATCTCGCCTCCAGTCCCAAGGGTTATCACCGAGTTATCCTTGACTCTTGCGAAGTGAAGAGGCTCGGACTAGAAACGAGTAAGAGAGAACTATGTATCATTAGCACTAAGTATGCAGAGGAATCGTAGTAAGTAGCTCACCTCAGTCTTAGTTGGAAAGACTGAGGGAAGGGAATAGTATGGACGCTGAGGATCGTTGAAACGGAGAACGAAACGTGAACGTGGATGAAACGTGTATGATAAGGTGAATGTGTATGTAAAATAGATACGGGAGAAGGACGTATCGTGATATTGACAAGCATCTTGACGGCGATCTTCTTGACAGAGCGCACGTTCTTCAAGAGGCGACATTCATGGCGAAGAGGCTCAAAGAGGTTGTCATCAAAATCATCAGGGACCAGAACTCTTTGTTCATAGTATATTTTCTCTATACTTATGACACTTCTGAGAATGCTCAAGTAATGCCAAAGCATCCATGCTGGTCGGAAGGAAGTGAAGATAAATGAGGTCATGAGAGGTCACGAGGTCCGACTCCCGAGCAGCGAGGCTTCGCTGAAATGACGTTAACTCCGGGTCGTCCGAGATCAGTAATGCGCGGAGTTTGAACCTTTAACTACAAAGTCAAGAACAAGCAGGTTGGCAGCAGGTCCTAGCATGGAGTAGAGCCTAAAGCGAGTTCAGGCGAGCGACGGACGAGGAGAGAGCTAGAACAAATGTATTATCTCAGTCTCGGGAAACGGACTCGATGTAAGTCTAGTAATGTACCTAGAACAAATATATTCTACGGGTATAGTTAGCTCTGATGCGATAATGAAAACGGGGGACTTTGACTCACATCTCAGTCTCGGGAAACGGACTGAGATGCTCGTTCGTACGACGCGTAGCTTTAAGGTAGTTAGCATAGCGATAGGTAATATAAGATAGCATAGATAAAATAAATAGTTGCATATTGTATACCTCTGCCGATGTCACTTCGTCTTCCATCGTGCCTTCGGGTAGCGCTCGCAATGTCTCACTCTGGCGTCTCACCTTCGGACTTCGATCCGGACTCCAACAGAGCCAGGGCTTGAGAAATTGTCCCTGTGTGAGTAGCGAGTCCCATTAATGTACAGTCCACTCATATAAACTGATAGCGGGAACGGTCGGGCGATCTTGCATTTTCAAGAGTATGGGTGACACAGTATGTGGTACAGCACAAGCTAAAATGTAACCGATGGGTCTCCTTTCGGGTTAGTTTGAACGTGCTGACTCGAAGGAAACACGAATTAATTTTAGGTCGATTCTGTATGCTTCATCTCGAAGCATGTAACATACATTCTCTGCCAGGGAGGTAAACACAGATCATAAAAATAAATAGGCAGTCGTCTCGGGGACATACCGAATGTGAGTATATATCTGCTCCGGCGGCCGTTGTTGTGCGTTCATTTAGACGGCATCATGTGCCTTAGGAAGTCCATCAAACGTACGTATGTTATCTTTCGCGGGAAGCTGGGTCACGAGCTTGTCTCTTCATCACCATGATTTTGAGGGTGTATATAAACGTCTGCTGTCCTCTTAATATTGTAACTCTGCTGCCGGTCACAGCTCATCTACCTGCTCACCTGCCGGCTCGTCCATATATCCTCTCCACAATACAGCCCATCCATGTCATCGTTTAAACGCAACCAGCTTCATGACACACGTACTCCAGTATATATTGGCATTTTTCCAGAATCCAGGTCATGGTGGACCCCATCCTCATCACATTCGCACGCACCATCTTCTTCTCTATCTCTATACAAGTCCCCTCAAGCTGTCACTGCATCTCACCCCTCCTTGAACGCGCCGTGTCGCATGAGGGACATTGATCCCACCGTAACCTTCGCTTCCCCCTCTGTCGTCATTGCCAAGTCATCCTATATTATAATATTGGATGGCGCACCCATACACAGCGAGGACACGAAACTCGAATGTATCGGATCGTGTTTCACTGGTTCTATGAACCCTTCCAGTGACGGTCCATTGCTCTACAGAACAGCTTTAGTTCCCAAGTACTGGGAGATCTTGTGCAAATCTCCAGGTCTGTACTTTCTGACCTCGACTTGCTACAGGCATGTAACTGATTTTCCCGGATCCCACTATATACAGCATCATTCAGGATGTATACCGTCCTCCAGACCCAGCATGTTCCGGAAGGTCGTCAGGTCGTCCCCGCCCTGTTCTTATCTTCTCGGCTATATACCACTTCCGATACACAGTTCCTGTGTGCAGGCCCCAATCTTCCATACCATGCCTCACATATCAAGCCAATCCACCCTTCACCGCAGACGGTGCTCACTCTTATTCCGAATCACTCGAGCCCATTTGTTCGCAAAACCACCCTATATCTCCAAGCCTCTCTGATCAAGAGAGCCTTCAGTCGCACGAAGACAGCACGGAAAACCAGCTGTACGAGCAACTCATACTGGGCCACTTTTCCCCTAACAAGACGCATCACTCGCCTTTGACCATATCGAAGGAAATAATGGCACAGCCGTCGTCTTCAAGCTTCCCGAAGGACATCCGTAATTATGTGAGTAACCGGTTCAATGCGGAGGTCTGCTGCTCATATCTTCATCAGCTCATGTAGGAAAGTAGTACACATGTAACAGTATTAGCGTGTACGGTATGCTTGTTATTCTATATGTAGAGTCCTCTGGCGGGGCCGGGGGCCAGATGCTGCCAAACTGATTTTCCGCGGATCCTCTAGGGCCTTGGGCCTTGGTCATTGGCCCGTCTGAGCGTGATACTTGAGAAGTTATAATGGACGTGATGTTGCTTCGGGATGCACTGTGTGTGTACTTGTTATTCTAGATATTAGAGTTCTCCGGTGAGGTTCGATCTAGATTCTGAGAACACACATACGTGTTTTTTTCCTGACTTCCGCGTGCGACTCGTTTTGCGCTTATTGTCCCCTGGTACAATAGTGTGAAGTAGTCCGTCATGATTGGAGACGGATATGTATAATTTCGCCGAAGGCTCTTATCTGACCCCTGTACAGTTACAACCCTAGTAAGTACTATCTAGCGACGCCAAGCTTCATCCATAGCCTATATTTTGTCAGCCGAAAAAGCCACATCCCCGCTTATGCGATTCATCAACAGTACTGGACGCTTGAAAGCTACGTTTGGTGAGACTTCGCTAGATAATTGACCTATCAGACTTTCACGCATCGGACCACACAGACAAGACGCCACAAAACAATCACTATTGTATTCACAATCACTCATGTACCACCAAACCTCAACACACTCCAAATCGAAGAAGGGGACGAAGCTCGTTGGCCGAGACTCACCGTAGGAAGAAAAGACGTAAAGAGAAGGACTGAGGAAACGCGCCCCGAGGATCAAGCACCTCACGCCTCATATACCTACTCATACACTTTACCACAGCCTTTCCCCTTGTACGAAGTTGGCGTCGGCTTTTGCCCGACAACATGCCAATGGAGTACGCGTGCGTCCCAAACCAGCCAGGAATACATACACCTACTATAGTTAAGTCGGGAGCAAGCCCGCCGCATTCGAATAGGGCTATGTCCAACATAGGGTCTACGACCCCAACGGACAATAAATTTGAATTAAATAATAATAATAATAATAATAAAATAAAAGTACTATGTAATGAGGCAGTCAAGCTATAAGTAGGTGTGTAAGTCCTAACCGAAGTTTACTTTTGGCGCTGTCAAATTGTCCCTGCCCGATTTTCTGCACTGCAGTGTTGATGACAGACGAACAGCGAGCGGAATGCGTTGCCCTCATAGTAGTAGTCTGGGTTCCAACTGTCGTACATAGTTTGCATACGTCTATTAATTGTTCGTGAAAAAACAATATCGAGTAGATTTTCCAGCACATACTCTCAAGCGTACAAATTGCATGCGTCTGGCCTGATCGCACACCAATGCGGCTGAAGTGGAATGGCATTGATCCCGCGCTGTACCATCCAATACCGGACATCCTAGATTTTTCATCTGTCATTTAAGCACTTCGACGTCTAGAAGCACCACTCACATGCAACCGAGGAAGTGCCTCGGTGACGTTTAGTGCGGCGCCAGTGGGCTGCTTGCCGCTCCAGAAAATCTCCGCCGATGATGCAGCACGCGGCCACACGATGGGGTCCACGTTTTGGGGACCAGACTGCTCACTCCATAAAATTTGCTCGCCTGGGAGTGTTAATTCGCATCACCTCGAGACTAGATCATGCGTGTTACCTCCGAGAACAAGTCCGTATTGCGCCTCGGTCAAGTTTGCCAACGGATCAAAGGTATATGCCTAACATACGTTGTGAGGTGTGTAGCGATCAGGAAAAATCATGAAGCAGTATTTACCTTGGACCAGGTCTTGAAGGGGTCGCACCAACTATTTCTGTTCACCCAAGAATGTCAGCTCAGATGAAGTACAATCAATGAGGTAAGGACTAACCCAGCTGGGTCGTCTCCTACCCATGCACCGGCACCACAATCCTAGGACCATAGTATCAGGATGATGCGTTCCACAGGAGTAGCTCGTCAACCAACCAGGTAAAAGTAATTTGATGGTACTTGAACGATTCTGAAGCCCCTTTCTGCCACTGCTACAGCATCCACAGAAGAAATCCAGACCCTGTCGGTACACTTAAAGGAGCTGAACCAGATAGTGCTGCCAATATACTCACATCACGATCGTCTCATTTGAGAGTGTAATGTTCCAGTCGAGGACCATATCTGAATGACCGCCTCCATTCAGTACCATCATTCGAAAGGAGAAACAACGCACACCTTCCCATACGACCGGCGTCTTTCCCTCAGTAATAAGTGCTCCGTGAGTAGTCTGCGTAAACGCGTCTAGAGCACCATTCAGCGTCATGCCAGTGCTGTTGAGCTGCTGCTGCGTGAGGTAGTCGTTGGCGTAACAGTTCGTGTTCAATTCATCGCCGCCAGTGGCGAAGTAGTATGAAGGTAGGGTCTTTGCGACATCGGAGAGCATGGAAGCAGTGAAGTTGATGACCTCGGGGAGTGCGAAACGAAGCTCGGCGGCACCAGGGGGCTCGTTTAAGCACACGACGTATTCGGGGTAAGTAGCTGCAATAATACCAGTGTGGCCAGGTGTGTCGATTTCCTGGTAAAAAACAATGAGTTTTTTTTGCAGCATCTACTAACAGATACTGACCATCATAACATCAATACCTCTCTGCGGGACGTCCATAAGCGGACAAAAGATGGCAATAAAGGAAAAGACGTACTGCAGCAGCATACTGGACAATGTATTGTACATCACTCGCGGTGTAAACTTCTTGAGCAGAGTATGCACCGTTCATCGCCAGCTCGGGGTACTGTGCGATTTCGAGCGGGAAGCTCTGACTATCTGTGATATGCCAGTGGAAAGTGTTGATCTGTCTAGCGTGTCAGCAACCACAAGTTAACAAGTTAGGGAAAACACTCGCCTTGACCCAGCTCATCGCGTCCAAAGTTCGCAAAATATCAGCAACGGGGTAGTAGTTCCTCGAGGTATCCAGTGCTAATCCTCGGAAGGGCTATGCACATGAGTTTCAGCTAACATCAAAGCTTATATGATAACTGCTCACATATGCAGGAGTGTCCGTGATAATAATTGGGGCCAGCAAAGTGTAGGTTACTCCTCCGTAATAGTAGAAAAGCTGATTGAAAGTAGTGAGCCCTCTATATAGACCCAAGGTCGAGTTCGCCGTCAAAGTAGCAGCCGAGCCATCTGCTGGAATCGTCAAGGCATACTCCTCGCTGCGGGTGCCCAGAGGCTTCACAGCTTCGGAAGCAATGGGCTCTGCGGTAGCACCGCTCGTGAGAGACAGCGTCACCTTGGAAAGAGTTTTCGCGCTAGCAAGCGCGGCAGCGTCATTTGCGCCGCGTCCGACGACGAGACGTCCAAGTTTGTCGTTTTCGAGATAGTATTGCGATTGTGAAACTGCCTCGTATAAATCCGCCGGCGCGCCTGTAACCTGCATGTCAAAGCAGAACGAAGGGGAGATCGTGAGGGCGGTCATCCCGGTCTCGAGGGTAGTTGGGATTGGCCAGAGAGCCAGGACGCCAGAAGGCAAACGGCATCCAGCGACAAACGCCAGGAGGCCAACATGGCGAGAAAAGGCCATGAATATCGTGCGGGTTAAATACGCGACCAGTCCAACTGCAGCTGTGGGTATCAGGTTGATGTGCAACAGTCGCGTACATAGCGTTAAATAATGAGAGACTTGACATCGTCAAGACGTGAGAGCGGTTAGATGAGAGTATCACGTATTTGCTTTGCATGAAATGCGTCCAGCGTGGCAGTGGATAATAGTTTTAGCAGACATTCAAATTAAGCAGGGATAGCTGGACAAGCGTTCGAGGAACCTGGCAGGCAGGAAGGAAGCCCAATATTCATCTGAGATTATGTGCGACCATGCCCTATGGATGCTTAACGTTGCAACATTAATGTTGAGCATGCAATGATAAAAGTAACATTTACATACATAGGTGCCACGGAGTTAAACGGGCTCAACGGAATTCAACGGTGCGGAAACACTTCTGTCACGTCATTCCTTTGAATCATATGATGAGGCTGGAATCTGGATCTAATCATCCAGGATTTGGAAATTCCAGTAATCTGCGTGTACACCGTATCGGAGAAAGCAAGAGTGTTGATTCTAGATATACGGGCGAGACCATTATTGCTGAGAGCAAAGAACGCACATAGGCCAGCGAGTTCTTCGTAGATATGGGCTGAAGCAGTACTACTAGGTACTGCGGTGCCACGTAAACCTTGCCACAGCTTTCGCAGCTGTGAAAGGCGTATATACCAGCTGGTCTATTGCATATGATGGCACCACGATCGATTTTGTTCAGGTAATCTCGTCGAGAGTTGGTCGAGAGTGGTACGACCTTGATTCCCATCGCGTGCGGTATGATAAGCCACTCATAGACATCTTAACTCGCCAGAAAATATCAGCTACGTTCATCCAGTATAAGACTATCTCGCTGGTGCTACGATGGATGAAGACACTGAGCTATAGACCTCTGGTCAGTAAGCTAATCTGGAAACCCTGACCGTCAACGTTGGCGGTGGCAGCAGCGGCCCGTCTATATTGTCATCATTGACGACGGCAGTGACTTGGGCTGTGGGGTGGACTTCTTTGACAGTTACGCATTTTTGCCCGCGCCACCAACTGCCCACAACGGAAACTGATCGACTCCGTCAATGTACAATGACACCTTCAGAAAATGCGTGTGATCTGGTGAAATCATGAGCATGGCACAAAAAAAACGGATTTCGAGTACTAACCGTGGAGGCCTCGTGTTTTCGTGTCATACTTTGCATTTGCCAATCCATTCATGAGGATGAAAATGATATGGATGAGGTCGAGTGTGTCATTCATCCTATTTAGTAGGAGTGAGCGATTCAGAAACCTGGACCAATGAACGAATAACCTAAGCGTTCTTGGATTTTCGTCAGCTTCCGGTCACGACACTCAGTCAGGTGAGACAAACCATCACCAGAGTTGACGAAAACCCATCCCCATCATCAGGATTCCAGACCGTGGAATGGGCGAAATGGGTCCTGCTCGCCTCTTCTAGTGTGATCAATTTGTGCATAGGTTCATGGCGTTGAAGGCTGTTGAAGGATTCACAGTCGTCGCTTAGATTTACTTACTAAGACACCCCACGGGGTACTAATACGGGCGCTTCCATCGCCCATTTATGGAAGGAACGACTAGATCGACTACGTGCACGATGGAGCCGCGTTCAGACGAAGCGAGAGTACTGGTGATATACACAGGCGGGACAATCGGAATGCTCGTCAGCTCACGAGGTTACGTCCCAGAGCCTTATTTTCTTACCGACACCATCCGGAGCCAAAAACGCTTCCATGATCCTTTGCAAGACTCCCTCTTTTCCAATGCAGCCTCTGTAGAAGGTTACAGAGAGTGGAGCAATAGCGGCAAGTCCACTCCAACCAGTTCAAATCACGTCCCGACGCTGGCGGCATCACCTCAACCGACCCTTCTCGTCAGGTCGTCACGCCCAATTGGTACCAGCACCAGCACCAGCACTCTGTCTCCCTCTATGTTCTCGCAGATTCAGAAAGTGATTGAGCAGCCAGAATGCCGAAAAGTTGCTGATGGTGTCTATGAGACGCGCCTACCGAGTCTTGTAACCCCCCGAAGCGTCGTTCCTGGACATGGCCATACCAAACGCATACGATACGCAATCCTTGAGGTCAGTAGTAATTCATCTTCATCCCGCCAATAATTGAGCAAAATCAGTGGAATCCACTCCTTGATAGTAGCAACATGGAAATGGACGGTTCTTATCTTTCACGACCCTCTTTATATATCTCCAATTCATCATTTTGACCAGGACAGATTGGATCCGCATAGCCGCAGAAATCGAGCTAAACTACACTTCCTTTGATGCCTTTGTGGTATTGCATGGCACAGATACCATGTCTTACACTTCGAGCGCACTTAGCTTCCTGCTTGAGGATCTCGGTAAAACCGTTGTACGTCTCATGTGCATCATTGAATGACCATCCTCACGCAACGACTAGATTCTTACTGGAGCTCAAATACCCCTATCTCAACTCCGGAACGATGCCGTAGACAATCTCCTCGGCGCACTGTCTATTGCAGGCAACTTCATCATACCAGGTAATTCTAACCTGTCATCGTGCTACTGTGGTTTATCTCTCATTCTAGAATGCAGCTTGTATTTCAATCATACCTTGTACCGCGGTAACAGAGTGTCCAAAGCCTCCTCCTACGACCTCAATGCATTTCATAGCCCTAATTTCCCCTCGCTCGTAAACGGTAAGCGATCATGTGCCATCTATACTTTTGTGACGAGTTTTGTTTCAGTTGGAATAGGTATAGTTGTTAACTGGAACGACGTCCTACGTCAGACCAGTCTTCGAAGATTTAAAGCCTACAAAGGAAAGCATTAATATTTCAAATCGTTCAACAAACCCGCTGACGTCTCCTTATAGAGATGAGTCCCCATGTCGGTGAGCACCTACGAGACATGTTTACATTCAACCTAACTCTCTCTAGCAACTCTCCGCCTATTTCCGGGTATGACAGGCGCCACTGCTCGCGCATTCCTATCGCCCCCGACCCGTGGAATTGTTCTAGAGACATTCGGCGCTGGCAACTCTTCTCAACGTCCAGATCTTCTCGCGGCACTCAAGGACTCATGTGACCGAGGCGTCGTCATCGTTGCAATCTCACAATGCGCCAAAGGCTCTGTGTCGGGTGATTACGAGACAGGACAAACACTAATTCAAGCTGGTGTCGTTCCTGGCGTGGATATGACTCCCGAGGTGTGTCATTTGTTAGTTATTGCGTTAGGCAGGCTGACTGACTGTCGGGCAGTGCGCTCTTACGAAGTTAAGCTACCTCCTCGCAAAACCCGAACTTACAGTGACCGAAGTTCGCTCACTTATAAGTCTTCCTTTACGAGGCGAACTCACGCCTCCGTTGTCATCCCTACCTGCTGCGCCCTCATTGGATGATGTGAATACGACCCTGTCAGGATTGCTCTCTCAATTCGTTCGTCTATCGTCGGCGCGCAGGACAGACGTTCCTCAGATTGTGATTGGAGAAGAAGCGCAGGGTGCTGCAGCTCCATGGAGCCGTACTGCCGCAGAGCACGCGAGTACGGAAGCTGCGCTCTTACCCTTTCTCATGCATCTCGCTGTCGCGCGAGATGACATCGAGGGACTTGAGTTCTGCCTTGCTTCGGGCGAGGCGGGTTCCGGCGTGACTGAGGGAACGGGAGAGGTGATCGTACCAGGAGGTATAGTGAATTGCCTGGATGCGGGGAGCGGGAGGAGTTCCTTGCATGTCGCTGCAATAAATGGGAATATGAGGTGCGTCGAGAAGTTACTGGCGAGCGGTGCGTTGGTGCATCTCAGAGACGGACTGGGACACACGGCCTTGTATTATGTGAGGGTTTCGTGATTTTTAGTGTGGTTTCGGTGGCTAAGGTTTAGTAGGCTGCACGTCAAGGTTATGCTGGCATTGTCGACACGCTTGCGAGCGCAGGCGCGAATCTCGGAGGGATGGAGAATGAGGTGGGATATGTGGGTCTCGCGGTGCGTAATGCAGTTCGTGCTGGAAATGAAGCTGGAGTGGATATTTGGAGACGGGCTGGCGTGAAACCCGTGGATTAGTGATTAATTAGTTGAGACATTGTCTCTGCGAACCTGTGGCGGGTTTCATACGTGTCGTAACTTAGCGTTATGTAGTAGCACGCTCTTGTTAGAGCATAATGAGTTTGATGATACCGTCACGGATGCCGCGGATCTAGATCTCAAAGCGTTGAACGTTGAGCCTCCGTATGTAATTGCCATACTCGAACTCTAAAAACACACCAAAGCGTTCAAAACGTTCTGCTATTTTGCCCCGACTAGCATTGTAGCAAAGCACTTAAATTAGCACAGGGTAGCGCTTGCGAACTTTGCGGGAGGACAATACACGTGACCGACGCGTCGTGGGACTATGTTTATTTTTGTTTAGAATAGTATGCCTCGTGTTCCCCACAAAAGGGTACTTCACACCTTTCACTTTTTCCCCAGGACCGAAGATTCCGCCATATATAAAGGTCTGGGTTCCGCTGCCCAAAAGATTGGGGCTCTTCTCTTTCTTCCATCTTGCAGCTGGTCATCGCTGGAAGAATCAAACTCTCTTTCTCGTCCTTTGTCTACCGCCGACTGCGTTCGTATCAGTCATATCGTATCAGCAGCCCCCACAGAACCGCAGGTTAAAATTCGAGTTCGAGTCAAGTTTGAGTGGAAGAAATCAGCGTCATGGCTTTAACGATAGCACAACACCCAATACTAGTCAGAGACCACGCATCGCGCGTAACACGGGCGGGATCAGTCCTCGTCGACTCAACCAACGTGCACCGTCGTATCAGGCCTTCATCATCGACAAAGCACTACAACCCTCTTTTCCCATTTTGCTCCCGTCCGTGCAAAGCCCCACCTACCCTTTCCCTTTCATCGACATGTGCCAGCTCCTCGCAATCGCGGGCGCTCTTACCATCTCCGCCAGATCTCCCAGATGTCCGGAGCGTCATACCCTTCCCTTCCGTGTCACTCGCAGATGATGTTGCTAGCATAATCGACGTCGATATGTTTGATGGGACGATCGATAGCGTTGATCCGCAGTCTTTCCCATCAGCCTCGTTTTCACCGTGTAATGACACCGCCTCCCCATGCTCCGCGCAGACTCGTCTTCGCAAGCGGCGATCCCAAGCCATCGCCACACTCTCCCAGCCAAAAGGTCCCAGACGGGACAAAAAGGCCAAGTCAAGGGAGAATAGCAGATCTGGGAGTGCAGATGCGACCGTGCGCAAGCGGTCTCGTAAGAGTTGGCGCCAAGTTGCGGACTTGATGTTCCTTGCTACCGTCCATCGCAGCCTCGTGTCGAACGTCTGCGGTACTGATCCGTGGGATTGTGTTAGTGAAGAGGATGTTGCGCCAGTAGATGCACAGACCCTTGAAGGGCAGGATGTGCTCCTGGCGCGCAGGATACAGACACGATTGATCGAATTTGGATGCTCGTTGATTATTGACGGCGTCCCGGCGGTGCCTCGCGATAATGACGTGTCTATTCCTCCTCCTTGCGCACCGGAAAAGTCATCTCAATTTATACGTTCCAACACGATCCTAAACCTCGGCAGTTCACCCTCCGACACGCCCTCACCACGATCATCCCCACCGCCCACAAGCATCCCCATACCCCCAGTCCTCACTATGCCCCAGCTCGTCGCCACGTTGATGATGCGACATAACGACCGATGTAGCACGCGTTCCCGCTCGAGCTGGCGAGCTCGTCGTGCTGAACTCTCTTCTGGTCACTTCGTCCAGCGGAAGTCACCCCTGTTTGCAGCTAGCTGACTTGTGCGTGCTGGCTTCCATGCTCTGATGAGGCAGAGATTGAATCTTTGCTGCCAGGCACGCGTCTTCGCCGTCGTGGCATCGTATCTTTGCCACGAGGCGCCATATATTTGCCATGAGGCATCTATCTTTGTTTTATATCTTCACGACGTTTCACGGGCGCTACGACACATCATACTGTGTATTGATAGTCTTTTAATTCTTTGCGGAGCATGGTTGAGTACATGTAACGCTAATTTGTGGTCTTGCTTGCGAGATCTACGTAGTGCTATGCAATTCAACGCGTAATGATACTGAATCATGTGATCGAGCAGCGAAGGAAGTTGCAATTGGCCATGAGTTTTGGGGTGATGGCAAGCTTCTCGAACACTGAAGGTCATCAAGGCTTAGGCTCCATTAGGACAGCAACAGATGACTGAGAAGGCTTCGAAATAATAGCTTTCCTCCGCTTTTGATTATTGGACGGAGGTCGTCGGCGCCAATGAGATCAGACCTCTTCTCTAAGTCCCGAGAGCAAGATCAACTCCTCATGAGACCATGGTTCTGTGCCGCTAAGTGTAAGCGTGCGTAAATTGGGGAGTGAGAGAACCTTGACCAGGTGAGATAATTGGTGTTTTGATGTCCCCATATATGTGGTGATGCATAAGAATTGAAGTTTGGTGTGGGTGAATGGCTGTAAGACTTGATCGGCAGCCCCGTCACTGGATAATACGTGAATCGTTAACGAGGAGAGGTCGAGGCATGATTTGAGCAAGGGGAAGAATGTATTTTCATAGATCTCGATATTGTCATTTGTCAGGCGGTCCCATACGGGGTCAGGAGTACCAAAGCCTGCCAGGGTATAAGAATCATGGAGTTAGGACCCAAACCACAGCCTCCTAGTCATTTCGAGGCTGTGCAGATTCAACGGTGGGCGCGGCAGTGGAATATGAAGAGACGAGAGTTGATTCACGTAAGGGCGAAGAAGATTTCGTAGCATGATCGAGTCGTTATAGTCGCAGCACTTGAACTCCAACGACAGGGGACGTTCTTGCGATCGCTTGAGCCACATGCGATAGTTGAAACCGTACCGCACGGTTCAAACTTCACACAGAACCAACACCACAAACTGGACATGCCCACCGCAACCTCCCTCCATCGTCGGCATATTCTAGTTAACAATATGGGAGCTTGTCTGTTTGATGGGGGCGAGAAGTCACCAAATTTGGGAGACATTGGAGAAAAAAAATTGGGATAGGATGTGTTCGACGAGTTGTTGGTGAATATTACCCACGACTTCTTCGAAACCTGAGAATCGTGGTAAACTGCATCCATCTGCTGCTGCCATTCGGGGATGGTGGCCCTGATAGGCTATGATCTTTGAGCTCGATGGCTGAGTGGTTGGTAGTGGGTAATCTGGCTCGGGAGTATGGGGTTTCGAGGTCTGGCATCTGGTCAGTAATTGTTGATATGTGCCCATCAGGTATATGAAGGTATGTGTACATACAATTGCTTGTGAATGCGCGAGTTGAATCGATTATTACTTTTAGACACGAGTGTTTATAAGACTTACGATGTTTCTCACTGTACTAATGATATCCGAGGCCGGGGACATGTTGACTGTTGAGTTGGCTGTCACCTAGTCGAGGACTCAGGAAACGTTTGCCGAGTGAAAAAGCTACTAGACATCGTATCCCGCGTATTAATTTCTGGATGCTTCCTCCTGGATCGGGACTTATAAATTGGAGTAGATGTTGGCGGAGTAGCATGATAAAACACCTACAATTCAGTCACTAATGAAGGCGAGTGAACTCATACTGTTCTTGCGAGATTCCGACGAGGTTCGACAGATTCGAACAGTTGTCAAGTTATGAGGGAACGCAGTCAGCCCTACCAGAAGATCAATTGAAGATCGGGCTGAATTGTGTTTCCGAAAGTATATGGGCGCTTGTTCCACATCATATGCGCAATGCTGACCTATATGGGTGACTGAGCAGTGAGCGCTATTTTGTTCAGTCACGCTAGCACTCACCATATTACTTTCCTTGCAGATCTTCCGCGTACCCCTCGATTGTCCACTCACTGTGTGCTTTTCGCTCTGATATCATTCGATTTCGCACTCATTGCGAGATCCTTCACGGTGAGATGGGTCAGTTATTAATAAGTTCTGTCGCGCTAATGTGTCGAGCGGCCTTGCAGCGCTGTCCCCCTGGCCATCCTTGTAGATCCACGTGTCTCAACATCCTTGCCAACACCCTTCAAGACAGAATAGAGCAGCGTGGAGTCATGTCTGACCTTGATGAGGTCATTGAGCACCATCGGACGCTACTGGAGCTCCGTTCCCCAGGTCATCCCGAACGACACTTTGCTGTCAATGATCTTGCACACAGACTTCATGCGGGATTCCAGCAGCGGGGAGTCCAGTCTGACCTCGATGAGGCCATCGAGCTCCATCGGACTCTACTGGAGCTCCGTCCCCCAGGTCACCCTGAACGGCACTTTACTGTCAATGATCTTGCACACAGACTTCACACGAGATTCCAACAGCGGGGAGTCCAGTCTGACCTCGATGAGGCCATCGAGATCCATCGGACTCTACTGGAGCTCCGTCCTCCAGGTCATCCTGAACGGCACTTTGCTGTCAATGATCTTGCATACAGACTTCACACGAGATTCCAACAGTGGGGCGTCATGTCTGACCTCGATGAGGCCATCGAGTGCCATCGGGCTCTACTGGAGCTCCGTCCCCTAGGTCATCCAGAACGGCACTTTGCTGTCAATGATCTTGCACACAGACTTCACACGAGATTCCAACAGCGGGGCGTCATGTCTGACCTCGATGAGGCCATCGAGCGTCATCGGACTCTACTGGAGCTCCGTCCCCCAGGTCATCCTGAACGGCACTTTGCTGTCAATGATCTTGCACACCGACTTCATACGAGATTCCAACAGTGGGGCGTCATATCTGACCTCGATGAGGCCATTGAGCGTCATCGGACTCTACTGGAGCTCCGTCACCCAGGTCACCCTGCACGGCACTTTGCTGTCAATGATCTTGCACACCGACTTCATACGAGATTCCAACAGCGGGGCATCGTGTCTGACCTCGATGAGGCCATCGAGCGCCATCGGGCTCTACTTGAGCTCCGTCCCCCAGGTCATCCTGAACGGCACTTTGCTGTCAATGATCTTGCACACAGACTTCATACAAGATTCCAACAGCAGGGCGTGATGTCTGACCTCGATGAGGCCATTGAGCGCCATCGGGCTCTACTGGAACTCCGTCCCCCAGGTCATCCTGAACGGCACTTTGCTGTCAATGATCTTGCACACCGACTTCATACGAGATTCCAACAGCGGGGCGTCATGTCTGACCTCGATGAGGCCATTGAGCTCCATCGGACTCTACTGGAGCTCCGTCCTCCAGGTCATCCTGAACGGCATTTTGCTGTCAATGATCTTGCACACAGACTTCATGTGAGATTCCAGCAGCAGGGAGTTCCGTCTGACCTTGATGAGGCCATTGAGCGCCATCAGGCTCTACTGGAGCTTCGTGACCCCCTATCATCATGAACGAACCGCATCTCTCAACAATCTTGCATTCGGACATCATGCGTGGGTGATTTCACTTTGTCGCCAACATACGAAATGCACAGAATAACTCAATGAGCGGCACACGGAGCAAAAGAGATCAGAGAGGTTTCAACCATGTAAATATATTTTCGAGTGCTTCAAAATATACAATATGATACTGTTGGGTAACGGAGAGCGACAATATTCTTATGAATCTGAGCTTGCGTGAAGGGTACGACTCAGTCACTGATGTGTACGTTCTCCGACCAAATTATCTGAGAGTTGTATCTGATGGCAAAGCCACAAGTCTCCGAGGGAGAATGCTGACATTACCAGCGTTATGTAGTTGCGGACATTGACATATCCCAGAGGCTGTGACTTTAAGCCACTCGGGACAGTCTTGAGGCGATAGAGTACTGATCGCAGTCGTAAGTATTCCATGTGACCTCAGCTGCGCGGTACACCCCGGAGCGTAGCTTGCCCCCTTGAGCACAAGTACAAGAGGCCAGGGCCACCAGTCGTACACAATTGCGACCTCGAAACGTACCAAGCTTCGGTGTGCACGGGCACTCATGGGGCTTTGAGCGACCTGCTTTCTATCAGTGAAATCGTGTCTCCAGATTAGCAGGTTCGGGTCTCATTGTTAGAGACAATGATTGGGCAGTGCATGACCAGAACTAGCTATGTTCGCCCGTTCATTGTCTAGTTAATCTACGATGTCGAACTCATACCTAATCCAATCAACTCACGGACGAAGAATGGTTGGGTGCATGCTCCATGGCCAACGTTGCATTTATTCCTCAGTTGTTCGATACGCAGTCCAGGATCATTCACCATCCCAAGAAGAGTACTTGAAATGAGTTCGCATGGGTTCGCGAAGACACCGTCGTTTGCGTCACAACTCATCTAGATGACGAGTGATGCCTCTAGGCATCAATATCACGCCTGATCACTGAAATTTCAGGGAAGGATGTTCCTGGCGATTATTTCTGAGTCGTGTTCTCCATTTATCATTGTGCAATTGTCAAAGTTGTGAAAGATGCACAGATGACGACGTTCAGTCATACGGCCGCCCTCCAATTTTTACAATTATTCTACGCAGAATCACCTGCTGCGCTGGGCATCACTGCGCTTGCCCGTCTTGGACACCATATCGATGCCGCATTATTTTCTGCGATACCACCAGAACATGGAACGAATCAACTCATCGAGCTCGGCACTACTGTTCTTGTTAATGCATCAAGTGTCTGACCCACCGTACCCCTGGCCTTTTTGCAGGGTTCTTCCGCTTTTCGAATCCTGAAATTTTAAACCAGAACTTCTTGATCTCTTCAAAGTACCATAGGCGGGCTCTTCTTTGTTCAGCCACCGGTGAGAAGGAGAGAGAAAAGTGGCGTATTTGACAATTTCGTCAGGCGGACCATCAGACGGGAGAAAACGCGCCTCGCGGTGCTCCCTAACATCATCAAGACTAACAAGTGTCTAGTAGGCGTGTGAGGCGCATCGGGATGTTGTTCGCCGCATTTCATTTAGGCGGTCTGATAGTCACTATTGATCTATCGCAAACCAAGATGAATTTATAGAATAAAATGATACAGCCATACAATACCTCTTACCTGCGTGAACGCCAGGAGATGTTCCATCGATGCAGCGTCATTGGCAAGATTAAGTAATGTCTCTGCGGAGGCGATCAGGAAAATATTTTAGGTGAACTTCAGCATCTCAGCCAAACATTTACTCACCTCAAGCGATTGCTAAAGTTAAAGAGATGGATACGGTAGAACCCCAGTATTATTCGTTACGATCTGTTCATCGAAGTCCATCGTCAACCGAACCATCGTAAATATCTGCGGCGTAGTGGAAAAATTGCCTCAGGCTGGTGGTACCGCAGATGCGTTTAGCATTACCATCAGCGCTTCTTGGCAGGATCCGAGCCAAAGGACTAGAAACTTTTGTATGAGAGCGGGATGTTGATCGGACCGGGGATTTGACTTCATCGCTCATAGCCTCAAGGCGCTAAGTTAGCGATTTCGAAAGCGGGAATTTGCGAGCGAACGAAGTTTGTAACTTTAATAAGATTGGTGCAGTGGACTGGTCACTGCAAGGACACTAACATCTTTCGACAAGGAGATGATAGACCTGGATGTTCAGTTCTCCATGATATTATATGCAATAGTACTAGAGAAGTGCGTACTGCCTCGCCTGCACACGGTGGTGTCACGAACTGCACTGGAACCATGAGTTGTGCCCTATTACCTACGGGCGGTGTTAAGAACTATTTCTTCGTCCCACAACATGCCCCTTAGGTTGTGGAGTATAGCTGGTCTTCATATTTGGGCAGGTTCGCAAGGGAGACAATGTAGGAGACAGATAACATGGGATAGGCAACAAAAGAGAAGAAGGAAACGAGGGTATGAACACCAAAACCTATGGGCGGAGAGCTCGCAATCAGTGGCGAACTGCCTTACATAGATTCTGGAGCACAGCTGGTGGTAAGAGACAAAGAGAAAGAGTAAACCAAGGTTGCTTTTCGTTACACAAGTCGAGTTCAGCGGAAATTTGGGCGAGCAACTCAAAAGGACAGTACTAGGAGTTCGAGTGCAAACATTTGTCTGGTTTTGTTAAGGATGGAAGCTGTTGGCAAATAGACAACAACAACAACCACTATTGGGTACTACTTAGATATTGGCAAGTGGTTATGTTGATTCAGAAATCAACATCGCGAAACGCGCTTTCAGCACCTCATTCTTCCTCGGAGTGCACAATCACATGCAGACGACTGGCTGAAGTGCTGAAGATTTTCGGCGCTAAATTTTTGGATTGAAATGGATCTTGGGTGTCGCAGCGGACATGAACAGGTGAATAGTCGTTAATGGATATGCAATTCAACGTTATTTACAAGGCAGAGGCATTGGGTAACGGGTTCTTAGACTGAAAGTTGCTCAAAGGTAGACTGGTGGCCTCATAGACAGAACGGCCCCGAGTCTACATTCTAGCTGCTTTCAACCTCCACACAACACCGTATCTCTCTCGATTTCTATTTAATCTCTGGAGTCTAGCTTAGTCTAGTACACCAATGGTTGAGAGAGAGAGAAATTCTATATTTATATACCGCAACAAACAAAGTGAGCTGTTAAGACGCGGTGCTACACCAATGGTTGAAACATTGAAGCATTGACGGTTACGTTTGTCCCATGTGCGCTAGGAATGACGTCAGCACGCACAGCAACCTCGTGTCCTCCTGCAAGTTGCAACCAAACGAGCGCCCACTCGTCCTTTAACTAGCCTCCAGCGAGATTTCCATTGCAGCATTTCGTCTCCATCACGCTTCGCGCTGCCCATCGTTCCATAGCTCGATTGTTTCGCGACCTATATCTTCTCACAACTTACTCGGCTCCAATAGATCCAAGCTTTGATTCAAATCTCTGTACGTCGTCCCTGTCACCCAGATTGTATCTAACCGCACCCTATAACACAACTAGTGTACTTCCCCTATCATAACCTCAAGCTCACTGTGCGATAGACGAATCTCACCTGCACCTTGCCTACCCACCGGGTGGCGATAGAGCATGGAAGAGCTAAGGAGGGAGAACGAAGGAGGTGATAAATCTCTTCTATCATTAAGGACAGACATACAATTATCGTAGTATACAGACATAGATTCCACTTCTCTATTGTGTTCCACATTCCCCAGTAATACCCGAGTTGCAGTATTTCACCCATCGCTAGGCAATCTTATCCTTCCGCTGTCTGACAAGATCGATCAGTGCCCTTCAAGACGCATCGGTGCCTGCGCCATCGGTAAGTCGAGTTAAGTGGAAGTTTGGGTGAATTCAGTTCGAGTTACTCAGGAATAGTACTGTATGGACGTTATAAAAGTATGTTTGGTCTTGTTAGGAAAGGAAGCTGTTGGCAAATAGACGACAACAGCCGCGCTTGAACGTTTGAACATTAATTCAAATCAGCATCATGAAACGCATTTTTGCGACGTCCGTAGTGCATCCTAAGGGATCGTAGGTGTCATTCAAACTTTGATATTGTCTACAAACACGTTTCTCTCGATTCATATTTAACCTCCGGAGACTAACATGAAAGTTACACGTTGAACTGTTGGCGGTGCTGACTGGCTGTGCAGTCACAGCAGCAGCATATGGGCTAGCAATCATGTCAGGACTCACAGCAGCCTCACGTCCTCCTGTGACAAGACAAGCGCCGACTTGTTGTTACACGCCATACAGTAAGCTTTCAATAACAGAATAGATTGAAACATCCATCCATCCATTTCATCTCACGCTGCACTCCCCATCGCTCAACAGCTTGGTCGTTTCACGACTTAAGCCTGTTCTTGACAACCTGTTAGGCTCGGCTTCAATACCAAGGATAGAAGGAACCACCTTTATTCGTCTTTAGTCTGTCTAAGGAGACAGAAGCCAAGGAACAGCCGAGATGTTATTGCTCTGATCCAATTCTTCGTACGTTATCACTCAAAATAACCGTCATTCAGGTAATTTCTAACCGCACCCTCAAACCTAGCTAGTGTTTCCCTGAGTTATTCCATTCCATCACACAATTTATGTCACAACCGTGTAAATGAGCGACGATCAATATTAATGTTAGTATTTCCATCTCTATCTGTCTCTCGCCCCCTGACCTCATTAACAGTTTCTCGATTGTTTGAAGGAACTTCGGAGAGACTGTCCTAGGTCGCTGTCAAGGGTGCTGAACATGACTCCCTGAACGCCAACCCCATCCGAAGTGTCTGGAAGTACCCGGGTAGACCTTCTCAACTACATCTACGGATTACTGGATGACCGAGATACGAGTCGACTCATTTGGCTGCATGGCACGGCGGGCGTCGGAAAGTCTGCCGTTGCGTTCACTGTAGCTGAAAGGATGCGAAATCTAAAAGCGGCTTGCGGGAACATCTTTTTCTCGCGCAAGCACACCGAATGGTGCACGACTGGATATTTCTTTGCGACGCTTGTATACCAGCTTGCCAACATTTTCCCCAGCATCCGGAGCGATGTGAACAAATATCTATCCGTGACAATCCTGCGCTTCTAGACCCCAACAAGTCTCTACGCGACCAGATGGAGGTGCTCTTTCTACAACCTCCCAAGGCTTCCAGATTGCGCGGGTGTCTTTGACATTTGTCGTTGATGCTCTTGATGAATGCACATCCAACACCGAGCTTGCCGATCTCATCCTTTTTTCGTGAACCTGATCTGCCCGTGACCCACATTCTGCTCACTAGCCGCTCGGAATCACATATCTCTAAAGCCTTTCAGCAGGAAGAGGTGCGCCCACTGGTGTGCGAGATACCAGTGAAAACTTCGGGGGAGGGCATTGTCACCATTATCTCGTTAGACGGCGCAGTTGTCGACACTGACACCTATATTTTGTTGTGGCATTCATTCACAGAATTGGAAAACCGGCATCCTGATTTCCCGCAGCCATCGAGGGACGAACTTGAGCGGCTGGCTAGCCGAGCAGGCAGACGTTTTATCGTAGCGTCTACAATGATCAAATTTATCGACGATGGAGACAATGATCCTCGCGATCTGCTTCAGCTAATGCTCGGGCTAACGAGTGAGCTGTTACCAGGAACGGTGGTTTACAAGTTATACGACTCCATCCTGTCCACATGTGCCGACCCAAAGCAAGCATACCTATACCTGTCTGTTGTTGCTGCGCTCGCGTACCCTCTACCAATCTCACAAATCTCAAAAATTCTTGACCCTGGCCCTGGCAAGGATGTCGAGACAATACTCAAGCTACGGTCTGTCGTAGATATCCCAGTCTCCCCGTGAATATCTATCACCCAGCCGTTCGTGACTATATTTCGGACCCCTCGAACTGCAGCCTCCCCCAAGTACATGATATCCCATCACCGCACTCCCTACTCACATATTCTTCTTTCCGCTTGTTGATGAAAGAGATTCCAGAGAGCACGGCCCTTCTCGGTGCGCTCTCAGAATTGGAGAGGCATAGCCAAGCAGGACCTCCATAGATTAAAAGACCCGTTAGCCTTCCTCGTTCGACCAGGGCCACTTTCAATTCTTATCAATCTGCTATGGCTCCGGGGAGATCGCAGTCTAGATTTATGCTCGTAGCTTGGGACTCTGGGTGGGCGTGCCTGGCTGCAAACCCAAGCAGGGGAAGAATAGCTGCGTGCCTGGAGTGGGCAACATTGGCTGCAGAACCAGCGCATACGAGATTGGCTGCACGCCCAGAGTTGGCAGGACCCACTGCAAACCCAGCGCACGCAAGACTGCCTGCAGGTCCTGGAGCACATCTTCTTGCTGACAAGAAGCAGACGAGGCCCGCTGGAAACCCAATGCGGGCGAGACTCGTTTGAGACCCAAGGAGGAAGAGATTGACTGCAGACCCAGGTAGGGCGAGAATGGCTGCAGCACCCGCGTACAAAACTGATTGCAGACCAAGGGCGGGCAAGACTGGCAGCAGACCCCGCGCTGGCGAGACTGGCTGCAGGCCCCGGGCGCGCGAGACTGGCTGCAGATGACAATGAAGGGCCCGCGTGGGCGAAACTGGCTAACCCTGCCAGTGTAGATGTGGTGTATGCAACACTGTCTGCAGACCCCACTCGGGCATGACTGGCTACAGACTCCACGCAAGCGAGACTGGTTGCACACCCTGTACGGTCAAGACTGGCTGCACACCTTGCACGGCCAAGACTGGTTGCACACCCCGTACGGGAAAGGCTGACTCCAGACTCCACACCGGCGAGACTGGCTACTGATGCCCCATGGCCAAGCATGGCAGTCCACTCCTGCGGTGTCTGTCTAGGTAACGATGGAAGAATTAAAAGCCCTCAGCCAGTATATCATTACCCCAGAATTGCCTTTCGCCAGCTGTCCAAGTTGTCCAGCAGCTCAAGAGCTTGCTGGATTTCTTGATGTTTCTGATGTTCCTGGCGTCAAGGTACCAGGATTATTCCACGTCTACATCTCCAGAAGGTCTTTTCCCATCAGATAGGGATGTACGGGAACAAAGTTGGCCATCTTCCGATGCTCTCAAGTACGCCTGTCAAAACTGGGCCGTACATCTCTCGCGTGCTCCCAGACCATGGGATGACTCGTTCAACCATATATTCCAGGCTTTCTGGCATCATCATATCCTCTCCTGGCTTCGACGGCAATGGTGTTTGAAGGGTCTGCGGTCTTGCCTCGTTATCTTATCCGCCGGGCAGAAACTTACTCGTATTGACGGATGAAGTAGAAGGGGTTTATGTCGCGTCGTAAGTCTTTCTGTCACCAATGTCGGGATCTAGTTGAGTACTGACGTATGCGACCGCCCATATACTCTCGACGAGGTACAAATAGAGGGGTCAAGAACAGAACAAGGTTTGTAAAGTTTCTACCTATGATTACCTTGAACTTCTTCCGTGCTGTAGACGACTCTGCTTCACCTGGGTCCTGGTTACCTGTGAGGCGGCGGTATCATTGTTTTGCGAGCGACTTCAATCCCTAACCTGGAAAGATGCGACTGATGAAGAGCTAAAGAGGGAGAACGAAGAGATGCAAAAACGTCATCAAGAACGGACCTGCGATCATCATACTCAATGAACAGACATTTGATTAAACTTCTCCGCCATATTCTGTATTCCTCAAAACTAAAGGAGCTCCAGTTACCTATCACTAGGCAGCATCGCTGTGATCTTATCCTTTCGCTGTCTGACAAGATCGATCATGGTCTGTATGCCCTTCAACACGCCCTCATCAGCGCCTGCGCCATCGGTAAGTCGAGTATGCGCGAAGTCTATGAGAGAAAGGGAACACAAAGGAGCTTGGGGTTCCTCCTCTCCCTCTGTCGCTTCGTCAGGTATAGACTCTAGAACAATCTGTCCATTTTCATCTATCTCGACCTCCACTTCTTCATCGTCGTCTTCTTCCGTCGTGCCAGTCCCGGAAGGCGCGGAAACAGCTTTCGAAGCACGCTCCCAGTCGCCTTCGTACACAATGAGAAGGCTTCCGCCTACCATGCGCATCTCAATGCTGGATATTGTAGTTTTCAATTCCTCCAGGTCGGCTTGGAGGGTAGTCAGAACGCGGTGGAGTAGGATAGGGGGAAGACCAGGATGAAGGTTTGATGTCTCTAAATCTGATGATTCCTGTGGTTTCGACGGTATAGGGTAAGGTGCCGACGAGACAGGGAAAAACATCTCGACACCCTCGAGAAGTTGCTCCTTCTTGATCGATTTCCCGTACGACCTGGGTATCAAGATAGGTTTGGGAGAGTTATTGCTGTACACCTGCACCATTTTCAATGACGATTTGAAATACCGAATCCGTGAAACAGGTACCTGAAACCCTGTGAGGCAAACACCTGTTTCCTCGCTAGTAGTATCAAGAGCTCTCTTGATCATGCGTGCTTTCTTTTCTGGAGGCGCGTCTTCATCATAGAGGACAGTCCCAAGTTTTACATCTAGAACACAAGGCTTCACGAAGCCATACAAACGATTTTCAATGACGAGGGACTGTGCTGGATCAGATAAGAATAAACTGAATTAGCAGATCAAATCGACCTATCTTTTTCCTCTGGCGCCATGTTGCCCTGCACAGGAACTACTTCCACATTTTCACCGCCTTCCCCATTCGAATCCTTTAATTGTCCCTCGAGCTTCAGCACACCAAGGAACTTTGGGATCCACTTTCTCAGCTTTGATAGCGCATCGTGATCGTCTGCAGCGGCGATTTGTTGATAAAACGCGATTTCGTGAGGGAGAGCTGGCTTGAGCAGAAGAGATCCGTCTTCTGTTGTCTGAACGCCTGCATGACCGCCTACTTGACCTGCGAGAGGGTGGGTAGCCGCTATTGTTGGGGGAAGCGAAGAGTTGGACATGGGTGTTATACTTAGCCTCAGTCTTAAGCGTGGCACGTGACCTAGCGTGTCTCATTTAAATTTGTGACAAGGCGCGTCAAGATACGGTTTTGACCTTTGACATCGTCGACAGCCTTTAATCACTTATTTTCAGTGCTTTCCGCAATGAGCAGACGTGGAAACAATGTTCGGGGACCTACATCTGCATTGACTGAGTTCCTTAGGGTACGTTCTCACACCCCCTGAAACATTTGCATCACTTGAATGAAACGTTATTAACAGGAATCAGGCATCAATCCTACTACGATTGCACGTCGAGTAGCTACACAGAATCAGCCTGAGAACCAGTCTCAAGATCAATCTGTGGCTGGTCCGAGTAACGCCGGAGATAATGTGGAAGAGCAACAAGAGGAAAGTGTTCCGCAGGCATCGAATGGTCGACGTGGTCGAGGCAGAGTAAGTATAGCACGTGAAAGTCTCTCATAATCGAGCCTGACATCAATAAGACCACTGGATACGCCTCAGACGAGCTCGACGATCCTGCGGAAGAATCTACTATAAAGAAGCGGAAGACTACAAAGGGTCGAGCGACTGCCGCTGCGAAAGCCAAGGCCAAGAAGAAAGCCAAAGACGATGGAGAATATGAAGGTTCCTCTGAGGACGAGTACAGGGCGATGTCGAAGAATCTCTGGTCGGTGGGTGGCAACGGTGGCCCTAAACCTTCAGCTGGAAGTTTTGAAACCTGTGCGAGATGCGAAAAGCAGTTCACTGTGGTATGATTTCTTTTGAATCAAAAATCAATGAAACAACATGACATGAGTGCAGACAAAGTACACTATGGCAGCCAATCCGCCTCCTGGCTATCTCTGCCACCAATGTGCCAAGGCTTCTGGTACTGATCCTTTCAAGAAGCCGGCAGTCCCTCGCAAACGCGCTAAAGTGGTGGAGAAAAGGGATGTTGCCAGTTACGAGGAACGCCGTCTGCCATCTCTTGCGGCGATGTGCATTGAGGTGCGTGATTTGAACCTTTGGATGTCCTTAAGCACGGCGACCGAGCTTCATGGCACAGCTTATTACCCGCTACATCGATGATGTGGAAGCTTTGGGTGATATTGGTTCCCTGAACATGGATGAAATTGCGAAAGCACTTTCCAAGAACCGCGGTCTGTGAGTGATGCGTTTAGGGATATTTCTGCGAGATTCTCATAGTGGCATGACAGCACCCCTCAGAACGCACATCTATTCTATGATGTGCTCAACAAGAAACTCAGATTCTACGATGCAACCAGTATGCCGAGCTTCCTTCAACTCGTGTAAACTGACCCAAACTCCTTTTGATCAGATCTGACTCCAGACGCACTGACGACCCTCGCTTCCCTAAATCCCAACTTGACCCACTTACACCTCGATTATTGTGGGCGTCTCACATCGCCCGTACTTTCGGGTTTTCCTACTTCAATGCCGCAGCTGACTTCCCTGACACTCGTTGGCCCGTTCCTCGTACGCGCGGAAGCTTGGATCGAATTCCTCAAGGCTATGCCAGGGTTACGAGTGTTCAAGATTACCCAGAGTCCAAGATTCAACTTAGAATGCATGCAGACGCTCGCGGATAGCTGTAAAAGGTTGGAAGAGCTCTCATTGAGGGAATTTGGTTTGATGGACAACGAGTTTGCCGATCCTTTGTGCTCTCTGTCTCCATTGAGAGTGCTAGATCTCGCATGTCCGGACATAGGCATAGATGAAGACGGTTGGATGAGGCTTATGGAAAGGCACGGGGGCACCCTTGAAACTCTTGATGCCTCAAAGCATGAAGGATTCACTGACCACGTTCTTCAGCAGGGCGTCAGGAGATACGCCCGTACTTTGTTCGAATTAAAACTGGACCACTGCCTTAGTCTCACTGATGAGGGCGTCGCGCAATTCTTTGGCAACTGGGCCTATCCCATGTCCACTCTGAAAGACGAAGACAACGATATGGATGTGGACTCCGACCCTGTGGAGGTCAGTCTCACTTCCCTCGAGCCATTCACGCCGAATCCTCCGTTGCACGCACTGTCCCTTGCCCGAAACGAAGAACTCTCAAGTGCGGCACTCACAGCTGCCATCATACAGTCTGCTCAGTCGCTCACGTGGTTGAGTGTGAATGGACTGCGTAGCGCTTCGTCTGAAGCACTTGCAGAGATCAAGAGAGCAAAGGAACTGCGCTATCTCGATGCCGGGTGGTGCCGGGAGCTAGATGATTTTGTAATGAAGGATGTTGTCACAGCGTGCACGAAGTTGAGCGAAATTAAGGTATGGGGATGTAGTCGCGTAAGGGGTGTTGGTTGGGGCATAAAGGTGAGCCAAGCAGCTTTGCTTACGTCTTCGAAAATTGAGCCGGCTCTACAGAGAGCCATCAAGGTTCATGGGATCGAACCGACTGGGGGCATGTAAAAATATCGTAGTTAAGGGTACACCTGATACGGCGTTGCATGTACATGCTAGATCAATGGGACACTGGTAGAACGCTTAGTGGGATTTCCCATGGAAAAAATCTTCAAATAGTGTGCTGAAAAGGAGTAGTCATTCGCAAGATTCCGGCCGCCTTTTCTTATTGAGCACACTGAACTACTTTCACCACTGACGGACAGGCCAATGACAGTCCAATAATTTGATGCAGGGAGATAAAGATGCAATTCGCAGGCAGTTCGTGTGGAAGACGTTTCATGGGTATTGGTGGATGATTAGAAACACGCATTAAGAAATTCGCTTGTCCGCCATACCCTCGCACTGAACGCGGCGCCAAGCCTATCAAGCACTGCTCTTGCTGTAAGGCGCTCCCAAATTTGACGGCGTTTGAGCTCTCTTTTCATTTCCGAGCTTGTCGGTTGCTCCTCGACATTTAACTTCAACTTTGGAAGTGAAATTTTGCATCTCAACGCCCAACTATCATGGGAGAGCTCGTGCACGTAGAGGTAAGTTCGATGTATCTTAAATGCTACATGCTTATATGAAGCGCAGGAACAGCGATTTCCATCCCGTCTGCTTGCGCAACTAGACCCTCAGGCTGCCAGAATGCCAAAACACGTGGAGCGCTACAATGACTCACTGGCAGGGCTAGGCCCTTCAAACAATGATCCACAAGTTGGAGCACTGAATAATCACGAAGATCCTTGTCAGTGAGTAATTATTCCCCTCGTGGGATCTCTCCCCCCTCATCTCCACCATCTGATAGGAGATCTGGTCCCAAGCTCTGTGCCGCGTTCGTCGGAATGGGATCCCAACATCCAGCCATGGGTCGTCAGCTCGCAGAACAATACCCTTCATTCCTCGCTTCTATCAAGGAAAATGATAGGATCTTGACAGAAGTATATGGTCAGCCTTCGTTACTGGACCGCACGGGCCTCTTCATTCCGGGCGCTGAGTGCTCCCTGAATGCCAGTGGTTCCTGGCCGTTAAATGATGTCGTTATATCCTTTGCATACATACAAATATCGCTATGGGATCTCATTCGAAGTTTGGGATTTAAAGCTGACTTCGCTGTTGGTACAAGGTATTTAATCGCAACGACCAGAACGTGAAAATGCTGACATGCGCCCAGCGTAGGGGAAATAGCGATGGGCTACGCCTCGGGCCACTACGATAGAACAACCGCAATCGGGATTGCCGCGGCCTTCGCTACTACGATGTCTGAAGTCGAAGGAAACGGCGCCACCATCTTTGTCGCGGTCAGTGCATGCCAAGCACGGCTCATCATCGACGATGTGCTTCTTCATGCGGGGGTGACGTGCGGCCTCTGGATTTCGTCCTTTCATTCTCCACACGCCGTTGCCATCGCCGGTACTCACCCACTCATAAACGCATTGCTTGCTTTCTTGAGCAACTCTAAGACGTTCTCTAATACATTTGCAGTGCGACTCCCCCAGCTTGGGTGTGCATTCCACACGCCATTGATGAAACCTATCGAGGCGCCATTCAAGGCAGCACTGGAGAATCTAGACCTAGACCACAAGTCGGATGCGGCGACACCTGAAGTGCGAGTAATGTCCACCATTGACGGTACTTGGCTCAATAGGCCGCTTGATAGCGACTACTTCTGGGACAACGTTCTCCGCCCAACGAAATTCGGTGACATCGTGCAGAAGCTCGTACATGATGAGGGCGAAGAGATTGTCCTCCTGGAGATAGCTGCGCATCCAGCCATGAAAACTTGCGTAGAACAATGTGGAGCTCGTTATGTCGGGCTCATCCGACGCCCTGCCCTAGGCGCCTTGGTCGATGAATCCAACGAATGTCTCCAGCTTCTTGAAGCGGCCGAGCACCTTTACGATGCTGGGTTCAGGAGCGAACTCCCCCGAGAGGCGTTTGAACAAACCCTTCAACTCCTTCATGCAGGTCAATAGGCTATATTCGTTGTAGACATGGTGACTGGACATACTATACTTTTCATAATCGATGCTAATATAACCACCTAGATGAAGGAACTTCAAGAGACGTAACATCTACATTATAATGCAAACCCCCTAATCCTGGATATGGATTCACGTTCCAGCCGTTTATTGTACATCCAGAGTCAGAAGTTGGAATTAAGAAAATGCTTATTTACTAGTTCCGCGTTGAGCCAACCGCAATTCACTGGGATCAGTAGCACGCGGATTCAAGCGCTTCCAGCGATACAGGGTGGAAGCTAGATTCGCGGGTATATAAAACATAAAGACAGTCGTTCGTTCTAGCAACTACTCGTGGGTTGTTTCAGCTATTTGGAATCAAAGTCACGATAAAATGTGGAGAAAGGAACGAGAAACGGTGGGAAGGAACGAATGCGTGTACTTACAGCTCTTTGCATAAAGGATGGCACTGGCGTGAAATTTTCGTTCAATTAGGAAATGTTAGACTTAGTGAAATTTTGCTCGTGTACACTCATACTACCCTTATATTATCATCTTCGCAACATGGGATTTCGCAAGATCAGTCGTGATGTGAAACTTGCGGCAATCCGACTCCATGAACGGAACCTTCTAAGCCTTCGTGATATCCTAGATTGCTGCGGATTTTCCAGCCGCACTTGGTTTCGGATTTTGAAGCTCTGGCACGAAACCGGCGATGTCGTGGACCGTCAGCCTAGCACAGCAAGGCGTGGTCGTCTGCGTGCTCTCGATCGTGAAGATATTGATTGCCTGCTTTGTCTTGTAAGGCAGAATCCTGACTATATTTTGGACGAGCTCATGCACCTCCTCGCAACAAACTAATTCATATCTGTCCATTTCACGACAATCTTCCGCAAGCTCGAACGTGCTGATGTGAGCTACAAGAAACTCAAGGTGGTGTAAGGATCTTTGTGGGCTGGGACTGCTCAGGCTCGTTATCTTCGCCGTCAGAGTCAGAGTCAGGTTCCTCTTCATCCGGAAGTTCTTTGATTCGAGTATCGTCCTCATCGGACCCATTGGAATCAAGGTCACTGTCATGCTCTAGCAGGCTCTTGTGTTTTTTTGGAGGCAGGAATAGTTATAAACGGCATGATGATAATGAATTACAGGGGATGTGAGTGTACAATGAGCAAAATTTCACTAAGTCTAACATTTCCTAATTGAGCGAAAATTTCACGCCGGTGCCATCCTTTATGCAAAGAGCTGTAATAAAATCCGATGGACTGGTAATCTAGAAACTCAAAAATCTACTCGTGCCCAGACGGATAGACAATCTATCAAGTAATTGTCTCCGTCTCCGCCGTCACTCAAATCGGCTGGTGCGACTGAAGCATGTCATTAGGTCCTCATCCACAGTAACGCAACTACTGACCATGGCAGCCTGAATAGGTCGAATGGGAAGCACTACTTCACGGTCGGGATAAGAAAACACGTTCTTCCGAAGTTTCTCTTGCGACGCATTATGCGTGCCAGTGAGGGAGTCACTGTGGCACCCACGAAGTTCGGAAAAATTAGTGGTGTTCACGTTGGACTGTGTGTAGTGCCGCGCATTCAGGAGTGCGATGTACGAGTTGACATAAACTAACGGTAAGCAACACTGATCAGCGCAATCCTCGGATAATCTTTTGTTTCATACGTTTAGCCATCAAAAATTGAAGACTGAGGAAGATGAAGTTCTTTGGCATCACTGCACACTGTGGGTGACGGTCAGAGACGAGATGAACAGTACAACAATTGGAAGCTCACTGTAATGATAGACGCCATTGAGCATATACTGCACGAAATATAAGTCAAGGTATAGGATGGGTTGGAATGAGTAATACCTTGTCAGACAGCCGCTATAAATGCTGTAACCAATGAGTCTTGTGATGAAGGAATCAGTGCTAAATAATCCATGCTCGTGAATCAGAACCTGAGACTAAACGGATTGCTCCTTACTCAATGTACCCAGTGCGGGAGGTAGCGAGGAGATAACACAGCGAGGATGTATCAAGTGTATCGAGAAGAGCAGCCGTGCTCAAAGCCAGGAACGTTGGCCATTGGAGTATAGTCACATTCATATACGGATCGTATCTACTCGCTATCAGCACTTGGCGATGTTAGGGAGTATGCTAATTACTCACACTATCCAAATCAGGGCTGACGTTTGGTTAGAATGAAGAGTCAACAACACAGTACCATTATGAACGCTCACTGAGGGCAACACCTGAAGCGGTTTTCAAAAATCGAGCGGAGAGTATTTCAGTTGGCAGACTGAGCTCACCTGAACCTAGGACAACAACTATGGCCTAATCGTCAAATCTTTTAAATGAAATGGCTATAGAATGTGAGTGTCAATGGCAAACGCACCGGTATTATGAGGAAAGCTCTTGATCTGTCTCTGCCAACTAGGTTCACCGCATCAGTCGTGGCAAATTCATTGGTAGGGAACAAATACCTATCCATATTCGATGAGCATAAAGACTATAAACCAATAATCCATTACTTGAATGGTGCATATACAGTGCATATCAAACTCACAGATGTGTCCCATAGGCAATGAGAATCTGTTACGCATTTAGGACAAATGACGGAATTAAGGGAATACAACTTACGTTGAGTACCATCTGAAGCTACACGAGTCCATCAACAAGATCGTAGAGGTTGCACGGAAGGCCAAAGTAGGAACTCACTTTAAAACTCCATACAACTTCTATGAGCACACTGATGTTCCCGAAGTTGGTCACCACATAATAATAGACGGAATGGACAATCAACGCCAGGTGCATAGCATCAAGTACCCTAAAATGCCAGGGTACAATACAATCTTGACGTGCCCAATATTTACAAACCAAACGGATACCTACCAAAGCCAGAAGACCTGACGTAACGTCAACAACAGAACTGAGGATAAGTCAGCATGGACGCACCACTAGCTTATAGAATGTTGTCCGTTTTCCCGCATGCGTCTGAAAGTAGATAAAAGCTTGAATGTTAGTTAGACCAAAGAGACTGCTCCGTGAGATATGTTACGACGACAGGAAGTGCTCAGCTCGATCTGCATAGTAAGAAAATGAATTGTACTAACAGTGCTGCAACGATGGCTCCAATAAACAATGCTCCGTATGTAGCCCCGAGGTCGATTCGTGGTAATGGGTCATACATTGAGGAGGACATTTGTCGACTGAATCAAATCTTCCAACAACTGTAAGTCCTCTATATTTCAGGCGCATGGAGTGAGCAGCATATTGCCGCATCTGTAAGACTGTGACGTGATGCATTATTATGCTCTCTGGTGCTGGCAGTGGGATATCGTTCCCGTTGTGACACAGTCGGACTTCCGCATGGATCATGAGAAGCATACAAAATGGAACAGACAAACGTATCAGGAATATTATTTAATCCGATGCGGATCGCCAGCGTGCATGCTCCGAAAGGTCGCAGAGATCGAACTTTCGAACCCGATCTTGTAACCTAAACAAAACACTTGATGACTGGCATCCACGTAGTCCTCATGCCGCAGCGTTATTTTGTGACTTATGCCTTGCGTCGCATACCTCTTGGAAGATCCTTACATTAGATATTGTGCCAAGCCCTGCCGACGTTATAGACCTTGCGTCGGCAGAAACATTGTTTAAAATAACGAAGGATGGCTTCTGGTGCTGAATATGTGCGCAGATCAGCTTGGTACACAGGTATCTTGGATCAAGCAGTCCCATGCCCCTTACCTTATCTGTATTGCAAGGAATTGAGCGTAGAAGTGTGCAGCGAAGAGATCGACCTCTGTACACCAAAGTCTGGAGAACGAGCACCATCATAGCTTAGCATGCTATAGCACGATCAAATAAGAAACGGGAGTCACCCCAAATGTCGGAACCAGTAGGAAGAAACGAGCAAGTGTAAGTATGCCTCACGCTCATTCGGAGTCCTTCCCATCGATTTCCGACGTAAACAGAGTACCGGCAGTGACGCTGTCATAACATATCGTCAGTTACTGATGCATACAATACTGGTCCGGAAAAAGAAACATATGACGTTGGTATCATCATGCCGCTGACGGAAGTACCTCAAGAAAAATCACCATCTGATGGCGCTCATAGTACGTGGCGGGTACTGGGGCACTGAACGCTGGACGCGTACGATGTACTATGTAAATTGTTCCGTGCAAGTTGTGACTCGAGCCTCAGCTAGCGCGGGGATCGCTGAGCTGATCATTTGAAGCCACAACATCAAGTCCGAATCATCTCATCCGCTCAGGCGCTCGACGACATCTGAATCGTCACGATCCCAACTCCAGCCACGTCCTCGGAAAGTCTCAAGAGTCTTTTGTCGGTCGAAAGTTCTGGGATACATTCCATCCTCAGAGTGCGTGGCTCTTGTAATAAGGTCGCCTACCTAGATCATAACTTGCACATGTACGCGAATGATGGGGAGCTGGATGTCAACACCATTTTCGAATCCATGGACACAATCTTGCAACGCATCGACGGGGTCGCGAAACCTCAAATTGTGCTTGGTCTGACGAGTTCTGGCAAGATCAATGCGTCATCATGGCTAGTTATATTCGTCCTTCTCTACCGGAGAGGGTGAGGTGTAGGAAGAAACTGCTTAAGGCTGCTATGGGGATCATTAGTCTTCTGTAGGAAATACAATGAAGATGGTCGTTCCTTCTTGGGATCATGGCGGATCTAATGTGGCTTAATGGCCTTGTCTTAATGTATCATGGTAAGTCTCCTCATCTATGATGAACTTGTGATTTCGCTGAACCAGGAAGTGGCTTTTGACCCTCTACTACGTTAACCGCAATCACTATTGGGATGATGGATTGTGTTTCGGTTTGAGCATAAGGCTTGATAAGGGTGAAACGCAGCCAAGTTCCCACGTACGTCGGACTTCTAACCTCTGGAGATCGTCACTCGCAAGTTGACAACGACCAAAGCCACGAAGCTCCGAGTCATCATCGAGATGCTCAACAAACACTACCTCTCCCAATAGACATTCACACCGAAATGCGTCATCTGTTGCACCAAATCGCATTTCACATGTCGCATCCCTAGCGGGCTCACAGGCCAATTACGTGGCAGCAGTGTCACGTTTACTGGAGAAGAAGTTCCAGACTGTTCCTGTGCCGGAACGTGGCTCTCTTCCTGAAACGCATACAGTGTCTTTGAGACTATTGCAAGGTTATGGCTGATACTGGCCAAGGTGTCTACGACGTGGCTGGACGCGCGCATCATGTAAGTTACATCATTTAGGAAGTCCTCCGCCGTAATGGTGCATATCGTGGATTGGACGAGCGTAGGATGAGATGATACGCTACGCGGGGCATATGCGGTGTTTCATTCTGTGATTCGGCCAAACGAAGTTTGCATGCCTTCTGTGTTGTAGCTCAAATACGAGGCTAATTGATGGGCCGGGTTGATAAGGTGCTATCATCCACGCACATGAACGGTATAACGATGTTGTGCAGCTGTACGATGCCCTGAAACATTCATTACCTGTGCGTCTAACCTTCGTTTTACTTGCATAGTGACCCAGTACTAACTCACCCCGGCAGAAGCATCAACGCCATTTCATCCCTCCCTCCAAAAAGTCACCCTTCTCGCACGACCAGCTTTACTCGATCGGCGCCAGAGGCAACTGCAGTATTGGCTCGGCGCGGTCCTCCTGCACCCCGAGATTGGTGCATGTCGGACTGTAAGGTAGTGGGGTATGGATCAGGCAAGGATTAGGCGTCTGATCATGCGTGATGTTTGGTTCATGGTCAGTGCATGAGGTGAGTTGCCACGTTACGAATCATATTTTTTCTTTATTGCACTTTATTCCAGATACTACCCTATATACCACTTATGATATACTCATGAGACTAAGCGCGCTCATCTGCGCTCATCTTTGTCACGCATAGATCTACCATCAGCAACCGAGCCAACATACAGATATATTATAACTTGTGTGTTTTGCGGCCAACTTTATTGAGCGTTGGTAACTTCAACATTACCATGGATGAGAACATGAACTTCTCAAAGACACCAGGCCGGATTTGAACTAGCACAACGCGCCCGGGCGCAAAAGATTGTGCCCGCCTGCGTTGCTCAATACCTGCAACGATAGCTGGTCATGTCATTAGGAGAGCTCGTTGAGTGATCTGGAAAGCTGCAGCGATGTAATTTGGTGGTGGGCGTCTAATGAATGTAAACGCGGCCCACGAACCGCTGCAGCTTAGAGCAAGACACCCACCCTCAACCCAGTCCACTTCGATTGTACTCAACACATTCACCTCCAGTAAAATGGGGCAGCTCATTTCAGTCACCGCACTCGTTCGAGTGTTTAAGGGTCATGAAAACCGCGTAACTACAGTCGCAGTTTTCCCCGATGGACAACGAATTGCCACCGCCTCGTGGGACAAGACGGTTCGTCTCTGGGATTTGAATACAGGTGTTATGCTGAAGAAGATGGAGGGACATCGCGATGAATTTGGGGTGTGGTCATTGGCCATATCACGAGATGGGCGATTCATAGCAAGCGGTGATGCCGCTGGGGGGCTCATCATCTGGCACGGAGAAACTGGGGAAGATCTCACCGATATCATCACAGCCCATCCGAACTTCAATACGATCACTTCGTTAGACTTTTCACCAGATGGAACAGTACTTGCCACTGGTTCATGGGACCAAACAACCAAGCTGTGGAGCACAACTACGTGGCAGCAGCAAGGAGATCCAATCAACTGTGGTGCAGATGTCAACTGTATTCGCTATTCGCCGTCTGGAGAACTTCTTGCAATTGCAATAATGAGCAACGTTATCAAGATTTTTAATACAGGCACCAGGCAATGCGTCACAAACTTGAAGAGTCACCCAACAATAACATTGCGTGGACGGTTACACTACACATGGAGCTTCTCACTCGCCTGGACGCCCGATGGTACTCGCCTTCTCTCAGGAGGAGATAACGATGATCGCACTATACGGGAGTGGGATGTGTTGACTTGGAATGAGATTGGTGATCCCTGGATGGACAGTGTGAACACTGGATCCAATTCCATCGTCATTCATCCAGCTGGTATGCTTGTCGCGTGCGCATCTGGAGACAAGTATGTTAGCCTCTGGCGACTCTCTGATCGAAAAACCATCGCCGTCTTCCAGCACTCTGCTGCTGTGATTTGCACAGCCTTCTCTATGGATGGGAAGCACATCCTCAGCGGAGGCGCTGATAACAAGATATCACAGTGGGCAGTACCCAAGGACGCTTTATCAGAGGAGGCTTCCAAGGAACCGGCGTCAAAGGTACTTTTCCGTCGATTTCCCGCCCATTCGCCATCTCATCTTGCGTCTTTAAGGGTGAAGACTCTGCTCCCAAGGCATGCGGAAATTTACACCCTTGGCTCGTGTAACATAATTCAACCATATTTCATATAAATCCTCGCTATGAACCCGACCGCTCGCAATGCGTGCATCATGGGGGACTTGGCTACTGCTGAAGAGCTACTCACGCGAGAGATCAATGCAGACGTCAACAACTACACCTCCTATGCCAACCGCTCGTTGATTATGGCGCGAAAAATGGAATGGGACAACGCGCTTCAAGATGCAGCTGAGGTGAGATACCCTGACCCACTTAATGTAGGCTAACATCGATCTTCACATAGTCCATCCGCATAAGGCCGTCGTTGGTGGGCTATATATCCAAGGGAATTGCCCTCTGCGGGAAAAGGCAGATTTGGGACGCTATGAAAGCTTTTGACCTCGCATTCGTATCTGCGAACGGAGATTCGAAGACGACATATTTCCTGTTCTTGATCAAGGCAAGCTACCGTTTTATTACATACTGGGGCGCGCTTTCTTACGGGTTTACAGGCCATCGTGTTGTTCAATGCAAATAAACATGAAGAGGCGATGCTGCGCGTCGCAGAGATCGCCACCGATTTCCCCGATACGGATCCTCTTGCTCGTCGTGTCGTCGAAGTGAGTATTAAGTCTAGGTTCGCGTGCTGACGCTGACGCTGAATTTCTGCGCTTTGCACATCAGGCGTATCTACGTGTCCAACTGGGAATTATTGCATTGCGTGACAGGCGTCACCAGGAAGCTGTTGACCACTTCACGACTGCCGTCAATGCGAGCGATTTCTTTTCCAGTTCGCCGATTCATGCCATGTTCGAAGAATTCATCGTGGTACGTTGACATAATGCAACCGACAATCGTTTCCATGCTCAACTGCGCGTTTTTTGCAGCTCTTCGGGTGGGACCTCGAGTCATTGTGGCAAACCGCACACAAGCAGCAGTGTCGTGCACTCATCCGGGCGGGTAGACTTGGAGAAGCACTGGAACCGTACCGGAAGTTGATGGACGCAAGCGATGAAGCTACCAAGGCTAGCTTACGTGATTGGTTCTCTAGTGAGTCTTTTCAGTAATATTGCCCATCCTATGGTCCTCAACAGCCTTTCGCTCAGCTTTAGGGCAAGCATAAAGGGCGCTATATGTTGCCAATGGACATGCGGCCCTCACTGCGGGTGGTTCCTCGTATATATTGAAACAGAGATCGTCGGTTCTCATTTGTACTTCAACATTACTTTATATTCCCTTAGGCCTTTGTATTCGGTATGGTATGCTGGCTCGTTATACGATAACAGACTCATATTCTACATTGTTTACACATACAGTCCCTCCCCACCGCCGACTATGAATATTCGCTTGGTGCACGCCCGCCACTGTACTTCACCATTGATTCATTGACTCGGAAATTCGACGTCTGAATATTCGATCGAGAGCCACTGCATCCACCGCATGCTTCTTCCGTCCACCCCGCTTTCTGCAAACTGCACTGTAAACTGAACAATTTCCTCCATGCACATTTTCAATGATAGTTAATTCACATAGATCTCGATCTCTTCCGATCCTGCAAGAGCACATAGTTGGCATGATACGCTATGCTGATTGACTTACATTAGAAATGGCATATTAAGTTGAACTTGTGTGTTTTGCAGGCTTGTTGCAGGCCAACTTCTCGCCTCATATATCAAGACCGTTGGTCAGCTCAACACTATCATAGATGAGAACATGAACTTCTCTACGGCACTAACTCACTGAAAGACCGGCGCGATCTACCGCCAGTTCACCATGCAAAACTGAGGACATCACACCTGAGAGTGGCGAAGGTGAGAACTAACTTGAGCTACAAATAAAGTAAGGCTGTGATGCCCTGAACAACCCATCACAGTGTCAGATAAAATATGCCTTGGAAGGCGAAAACTTCTGAGTTGCAGAAGTTTGAAACGCGAGCAGCGAGATACATGCAGACCTTTGAACTCCATAGGATGACTGGGGTGATAGTACAGTGAGCTGGTGCATGAAGGGTACGAGATCTAGGCGGGAAAGGTGTACGACATCGCCGAGCTGGAACAGGTTGACAAAGGAATTGTCCCCGCAGCTTTCGAAGATGATGTTCAGCAGGTGGGATCTGACTCGGAGGATGGTTTGTCTTGGGATGTGCAGTCTCTGTTGACTATGAAGGGTGTCTCGTCAATGTAATAATCAGTAGTATTATGCAACATTGATGCAATGTGTCTGGGAGTTTTGCCAAGTTTTGCCAGTGCGCCAAGTGCCAGTTGTGCCGGCACTTGGTCGCAACTCAGCCCAAAGTAGTTTTGCCCCCTACACTAGTCTTAATGTATCATGGTAAGTCTCCTCATCTATGATGAACTTGTGATTTCGCTGAACCAGGAAGTGGCTTTTGACCCTCTACTGCGTTAACCGCAATCACTATTGGGATGATGGATTGTGTTTCGGTTTGAGCATAAATAAGGCTTGATAAGGGTGAAACGCAGCCAAGTTCCCACGTACGTCGGACTTCTAACCTCTGGAGATCGTCACTCGCAATTTGACAACGACCAAAGCCACGAAGCTCCGAGTCATCATCGAGATGCTCAACAAACACTACCTCTCCCAATAGACATTCACACCGAAATGCGTCATCTGTTGCACCAAGTCGCATTTCACATATCGCATCCCTAGCGGGCTCACAGGCCAATTACGTGGCAGCAGTGTCACGTTTACTGTAGAAGAAGTTCCAGACTGTTCCTGTGCCGGAACGTGGCTCTCTTCCTGAAACGCATACAGTGTCTTCGAGACTATTGCAAGGTTATGGCTGATACTGGCCAAGGTGTCTACGACGTAGCTGGACGCGCGCATTATGTAAGTTACATCATGTAGGAAGTCCTCCACCGTAATCAGCAAATGACACGTTAAATTTTAACCTGCAAGGTGCATATCGTGGATTGGACGAGCGTAGGATGAGATGATATGCTACGTGGCATATGCGGTGTTTCATTCTGTGATTCGGCCAAACGAAGTTCGCATGCCTTCTGTGTTGTAGCTCAAATACGAGGCTGATTGATGGGCCGGGTTGATAGGGTACGATCATCCACGCACATGAACGATATAACGATGTTGTGCAGCTGTACGATGCCCTGAAACATTCATTACCTGTGCGTCTAGCCCTCGTTTTACTTGGATAGCGACTTAGTACTAACTCACCCCGGCAGAAGCATCAACGCCATTTCATCCATCCCTCCAAAAAGTCACCCTTCTCGCACGACCAGCTTTACTCGATCGGCGCCAGAGGCAACTGCAGTATTGGCTCGGCGCGGTCCTCCTGCACCCCGAGATTGGTGCATGTCGGACTGTAAGGTAGTGGGGTATGGATCAGGCAAGGATTAGGCGTCTGATCATGCGTGATGTTTGGTTCATGGTCAGTGCCATGAGGTGAGCTGCCACGTTGCGAATCATATTTTTTTCTTTATTGCACTTATTCCGGATACTACTGAGCTATTTACCACTTATGATGTATTCATGAGACTAAGCGCGCTCATCTTTGCCACGCATAGATCTACCATCAGCGACCGAGCCAACATACATATATATTGTAACTTATGTCGAGAAATTTACGGTGGCGCTCAGCCAAAACACCAAGCGAGAGCACGTGACCACGATCAATTCCCTTTTCGAGGCGGGATTCGCTGACCTCGCTGGCACATGACCAGTTTGTGTGACAGGCGTGAGTTTTGGTTGAAAAAAACAGAGCGTTTCAACAAATGCGCTGGCAGGACGGAACAAACGCGAGTGGGGTGCGGGCATGATTAGCGACGGCGAGTGGTAAGGTAGAGTATCAGTAGTATGCTACTAAGTAGTAGGCAGTGAGTGTGGAATGTACAGAGTCAGCCAAAGCAGTGAAACATCGTAGCGAAGCAGTGAAAGCACTGAAAGGCAATGATAGTATGTAGTAAAAACGGGACCGGTATCACTTGTTGCGAGAGATACGGTCCCCTCGTGCAGCGCGTGCCTTGTTCACAGCCTTCAGAAGTTGCGTGTGCCCTAGCTCGGCCTCTGGATAGGCTGCGAGGAAGCGTGCCTCGTTCGACTCGTACCTGGAGCCGAAACAGAGGGTTAGCAGTGCCGGCAGTGTAGATACCAGCGCAGGGACTTACTGATTAATGAACTCTAGCGCGATTGTTGCACGTTGGTGGTACTTTGATGCAAACCGTCTATTTGCACCTTGGTACCAGTGCCTTGGCCAGTCCTTCAGTGGCGTTGTCAGTCCTCGGTCTCGATCGCCAACAAGCCAGTGTTCGACAATCTCCTTCCAGGAGTTGTGCTTCGGGCTGGTGGTTCCGTTGGGACGAGAGACTGGGACCCGAGGGATCACAAGGCCAGGTGTTGGGAGTTTCTGGGTACTTGAAGCCCGAGTGATGCTGATGGGCAGCGTGGTGCAGAGTTGTTGTGACGAGGTGCGGATGGATGGCTCGGTGGTAGGGAGAGTGTGGCTGACGACGGGCCTGGGTAAAACCGGCTGTTCGGCTCTCGCACATATGTCTCTGACAGGTGGAGTTGGTGTGCGGGAGGCACACTCAGAGACGTTGGTGAAGCGGGGGCCTGAATCGAGACGCTGGAGAGCGATTACTGTGGTGCAGGCAGCCTGTGCTACAACACTCGTTAGGGAGCGCATGTCATTGCGAAGGGAGTTGACATCTGCTGAAACGGATGCGTGCACCATGCGAAGCTCTTCTGTCGATGCTGGTCTGGCGAGAGCATGTTCGCCAGCAAGGGAGGCATCAGCACCGCGGGAGATGGGGGCAAGGGCATCACTGTAGTCAGTCTCATATGCATGTAGTTCGTCGAGGAGGTAGCGAACGAGTGTATCACGCTGAAAATAGACACAATGAGAAAAAAATGCTGCATCAGTCAAGTGTCAGTCATAAGAACATGAGACATACCTGCTCGCCATCAGCCCATCCCCCCCACCAACGAACTTTAGCGAGTGTCCACCGCTGGCCCACTGGAGCAAACATGAACCAATATTGCGCACCTCCCCGACGAAAGCAGTGAGTTGAGAAGTTACCACGGATGCCAGCGCCAGCGGTTGACTCATTGATCCATTTTTGTACCGTATCGTGAGAGATTGGCTGTCCAGGATGCACAACACCATTTGCACTCATCGCAGGAAAAATGAAGTCGTTCGGCTGGAGAGTTCGCCCGTAGTGAAATGATTCAAGCCACTTGATCCAAACTAACATCCAGAAGAAATTGTCGCAGGCTGGCATGTTGGGGCGTGGATAAATCTTGTAGTGATTTGCTGCCAGTGGTGAGGTCATTTAGTCATCCGGCTTCGATTTAATGTGAGCAACTCACATCTCAGATCTGCTTCCCATTGGCCCTTGTCCACCTTCTTTTGCCATCCTTTCCGGTGAGCGAGAAAGATCTCGAAGTATGATGTGCATTTACTCAGCGTGAGTGTCTCGTTTGCAAGGTACACGCCGAGCACCCCATCCAAAATAGTGGTATCAAGTGAGATATCCTTTCTTTGCAACTTTACAAGCTCAAAACACCTGCGGGCAAGTTAGATCGCGCACGTGCTGCGGAAAAGCTAATCAGATCTCACCTTGTCCATAACGTCCATCCGTTCGATGCGAACGTGACTTGTTCAAGATGGCGAGTAAGTTTTGTCCTCATTTCCAAGTCCAGGTGCATATCCGAAGGCCGAGCACCACTCATCACCTTCTGAATCATCTGTAGTGCAATCTCGAGTGGACACACAGCCTGGTGCCATCGGAATGCCCGATCCATGTAGTCCTTCGTCATTGCCATTGAGTGAGTGCGATCTCCTCCCTCGGCACTTGCCTTATGCTTGATGGATGACAGCACATCATAAATGTCTGCAGAATCAGCAGGGTTTCCTTCCCAGCGCTGCTTCGCCTCATTGAAGTGCCATTTGCCACGATAGGTATCACCATCTCTAAAATGTAAGTCAGTGCTCGTATGCTCTAATTTGTGTATGATAATACTCACGATAGCTCCCACAGCTTCTTAAATGCCGAACGGATGCTCTCGACAGTAGTTTTGCTGAGGTTCTCGTGGAACCCTTTCAGGGACATGAAGAGCGCCAGTGCTTTGTCAGAGCATCTGTTCGGGATGCTCTCAAATGCATATTTGAAGGCCGGGTCCTCATACACGTCATTGTCGGCATGTATTTCGGCAGTTGCAGGCAACAGAACGAGTGAGTTTTCAGACGTGTCACCCCTCCAAGTCTCGCTGACAGCAGAACAGCTCGGGGTTTCGAAATGGCTTGCCAACCATTCCCGTCCACGCCGAACATGCCCGGCATAGTTCGTCCTTGTGTTATTTGCCTGAAGGTGAGTTTTTATTCCATGTTCCTTACACTTTGGACGTCTGCTAAAGCTGTCTTCGCAGCAGCTGATCTCGTCTTTCGCCCAGCTTTCTTCTGAGCAGTGTCTGGCAGCTGGGGGGCTTTCGTGGAATCCTTCTTGAGTCGTGCCATACTTTGTGAACACGAACGAGTGAGTGTGGCACAAAGGTAGTTCAAAATTTCGGGACGGAGATCATTGTCAGGGGCCTCTAACTAGTTAATGACAATTTCACATTTCACATTTCACACTATTTAGATTAGGAGACGACAATTGATTGCACTAGGCACTAATATACTGCTGCACTACTTGGGGAGCCATATGATCCAGTATTGTTGCCGGAAGACGCATCATGTAAGGGAGAGAATTTCCCTTGAGCTGAGTTGCCTAGGGTGTTGTGTGCCAACCACCAACCATCGACTTTGATATTATAAATAGCGATATCATGCCGCAATGCCATCAACGTTCCACGAGCAATTATTTTGAACACCGGCCGGGTCTGTGTGGTCCGCATGCTGACGGGGCAACTAAAACACGAGTTAGAGTCTATAAAAATTGAACCACATGTGCCGCCTACCTTGCATATGGTGCGGAGACATGCACCCTCCCACACACTCCCGCATCTTGTCAATGATGGCATCATCGTCCCAGCCCAACTGCAGCCTGCAGAAGTCTGCAAGGTCTGCAGATGTGGCTGGGAGGACGACACGTCCAGTAGCACATTCTCTGCGCTGAAAAAGATGTTGGAGGATGGATATTTGTCGATCACTGCACGATGTGGAAAATTGCATGGGATACAATCTGCAACGCCTTATACCGACGCTTGAGGTCATGATAGGGGTCGTTGGTGAACATAGTGTGTAGTTCATTGACGAGGTCCTCTGCACGCTCAGAGAACTCCTCCGCGGCATAGACAGGAATGTGCAGAGCATATTCTCGCCAATTCTGCTGCACATAGCAACCTTGTGAGCAATCTCGATTCCACAACCAGGCACCCCTCTATCATAGTCTCCGCCTGCCAGGAGGGCAATGAGCAGTTGATCTCCTCGGTCAAGGAGCACATGCTCGAGACCATCCTCCGTATACACTTGAACATTGAGATAGTCCTTGTCGTTCTTTGCACTGCGACAAATCAATGGCAAAAGCATGAGAAAAACATGATGGCATACGTTCTAATTATGCACACGCTCCGAAGATCAGAACATCACTGTCCTCGGTCATCACGGCGTTGATAACACCGTGGGTGTTCATGGCAGCCAATTCGGCTTTGGCTTCACTCGGGGCCTGGGGAGTGGTGAGACAACAGTCTCATTTGAGGTGAGCAAAACTTACCTTGGTCCACTGAAAGCCAAACAACTCCAGCATGCGCTGGAAGTCATGGGTGAGCCAGTGGGGGCTGTCTGATTGTTCGACCCTTGTCTGGCAGGTGGCTCAGGCTATCGAAGACAAAGACCACATGCAGGGGAAGCTTTAGTAGTGCGCCCAGCCGAAAAATCAGTCGAACCCCATATCCATAAATCCTTGTTCACTGGTGCATAGTATATTCTTCTTTGGTTTATTTGACAGATACAGTACTTTTACCTTTCAAACTCCCTATTACGTTGCCTTAAGCGGCTCGGACCGATTTACTCTCACATATCCCCATACATATCACGGACGATCGACCGCATGTCCTGCGTACATTTCTAGCGAACCACGAGGTAGCTCGGACATCCCAAGCGATGATTATCTCCATTATTTACCTAGTAGCCGATTTTTTACTTAAGGGATGTTCTCCGGGATCTTCACAGTCGCAGCATACTGCAGATCGTAAGCGCTCAGCTTTGCCTGGGCAATCTACACAAACTCAGTCCTCTCGCGATCCCAATGCTTCGAATCATTACCTGGGTTTTCAGGATGGCGCACATGGACAGCTCTCTCCCACTGTGTGCGCCATTTGTTTGGGGAGTCACACCCACAGCTTCATCGACTGCACCGCCGAGTGTCTCTGGAGCAAGTCCCACCCTGTGCTCACCAACAGAGTCAACAAACAGCTACTATTATGTTCCAACAACCAGCCACTCTGCCTCGACTGGCAGAGGAGTCGTGGATGCAGCAATCGCTCACACAATGAACGACACATTTGCACCGGTTGTCCTTCCACCACACACGGATCTCAGCATTGTTCTCAAGCACAGAAAGTTGCGGCCGATCACACCTTATAATTCTTCCTCCTGGGAACATTTGCTTCACTCTCATGATCTACTCGATCGCTACCCGGATATCCCGCTTGGTTTACGTGCAGGTTTCAATCTGCACCTGCCTTTGCTGCACTCCACTCAAACCCCACCTAATAGTACTTCAGTTCATCAATATCAGGATGTGTTCTCAGCCATTTTGTCTCGCGAGCTGCAAACCGGTCAGTACATCGGTCCTTTCACTCGCCTGCAACTTGTGGACGCCCTGGGACCCTTCCAATCCTCACCCATATCAATCATTCCCAAAGCTGGCAAAGCTGGAAAATATTGTGTCATTCAAAACTTCTCTTTCCCTGATATTCTGTCCCTGGCTCATCCATTACCATCCATTAATTCCATGGTTAACTCCGATGATTTCCCGTGTACATGGGGGACATTCGACACAGTCTGTACCATCATCCGTGGTCTACCACCAGGCTCTCAAGGTGCCACACGGGACATGGCTGAAGCTTATCGCACTGTTCCGTTACACCCTTTGCAGTGGCCAGCAACAGTGGTCCGTTTGTCGGAGGATGCCTTCTGCATTGACACCTGTACCGCCTTTGGCATGGGGCCATCAGCCGGGGCTTATGGTCACGTTGCTGATGCTGGGTCGACTTATTGCGAGCACAAGGTCTTGGACTGATTGTCAAATGGGTCGATGACCACCTGTTTTTCCGCATCCGCAAAGAGCATCTCATTACTTACAATCATCAGCGTTTGTTGGTTCATACTTGCCTGGCCCGAACAGGCCAGCTTCAGAATGGTGGTCGTCTATGGTACAAAGGTGACGAATTTAGTGACAGTTCATTTGATGAGTTTGCTGAAGACTGCGGTTTCCCGCTCCGCGACTTATCTGAATCTTCAGTTCGCTCGCATGAAAGTGATAGTGAATTCACTTTTGACTTCTGCGACATTAACCGCACGTCCTCCGATCTCGATATACCTTGGGAACCGACAAAGGACACCTTGTTCAGCTTTCAAGTTGTGTACATCGGTTTACTGTGGTGCCTCACGTCGCTCACAGTGGCGCTGGTGGAAGGAAAAAAGGAGATACTCTGCCACCATCACAGCATGGTCTTTGGACGTCACCCATGTACTACTCAATGTTCAGAAGCTGCATGGGAAACTTCTTCATGCCTGCCTCGTGCTTCCCGCTGGACGAGCGTACATCACCTCACTCGAAAGTATGCTTGGAGTCTGTAGTGCGAGTCCATTCATGCCACATCACTCTGTCCGTCATCTCAACGAAGACCTCAAGTGGTGGTCTAAACAACTCTCTCTACCTTTCGTCGGTCGGTCAATCCCACACCCAGTTCAACTCGTCGATGCTCGGGCCTTCTTAGACGCCAGCACCACTGTCAGAGTTGGAATTGTTATCGATGGGCATTGGCGTGCCTGGTACCTATGGCCAGGATGGCAGACACTCAATGGAGAATGGGACATTGGCTGGGCAGAGGCCACCGGTTTCGAACTTCTCATCCATGCCCTCCTGCGGGCCTATTCCAGAAGTTCAGTCTCACTTCAGGGTCTATTGTGACAATAAGGGCGTCGTTGATGGTTGGCGCAATGGACGGAGTCGCAATAGGGCCACCAACATTGTTTTCAGAAGGGTCCAACATCTCCTCGATTCCCAAGACAATTTCTCCTCTTTCCATCTCCGCTATGTCCCCAGCCAAGACAATCCAGCAGACGGGCCTTCCAGAGGTGTCTTCCCCCCGAGGCATTTCTTGCTCCCACCCATTCCTCTCCCTGGGGATCTCGAAAAATTCCTCATCCCGCCGTCTAACCCAGGCACTTCACAAATGGACACAGTGGCTAGTCATTTGCAAGCTTGGTTGACCGGAGAAGAAGTGAGACTTCCCGCAGTCACACTGCTCTCAGCTATGAGGCCACGCGCTGTCGGCGCTCCATGTTTTGCTAATTCCACTCCCTTACTGTTGCCCGCACCCACAGGTCCACCGCATCCATATGCCGCCAGTTTGACACCTTTGCTATCACCTCTTCGTCCGCATTGCCTAGCACGCGATCGCTTGCGATTATGGGTACCTGCAACCAAGCACTCAGGCACGGATCGTGCTGGAGCGCCAGTTCCAGTCTCCAAGGCCGACCTTGATAGAATTCTCCTCATCATCTCTCATTCTCATGCTTCCAGCACACATGAAACTTACGGATCAGGGCCCTTAGCATACCACGTATTTTGCGATACTCGGGGCATTTCTGAAGATCAGCACTGTCCAGTGCCACCCGTTCTACTTCTAGCCTTTGTTGCGGCCTGTGCAGTGTATGCAGGTGCCACGCTCGAGAATTACTTTTACGCAGTTCGCGCCTGGCATCTCCTTCATGGAGCACCTTGGCTACCAAATCATGCCGAATCATCCCTCGCACTGACTGGCGCTGCAAAGTTGGCCCCTCCATCCTCCAAGCGTCCAAAGTGCACTCCTTTCACAGTGGAGCTCATCATCAAAATCCGGAGTGTCCTGGATCTGTCAAAGCCGCTACACGCTGCCGTTTTCGCATGTCTGACCACTTCATTTTTTACCATTGCTTGCACAGGGGAGTTTACGGTACCTTCTCTTGTCAGCTTCCACACCGACCCCAGTGCCTACATCAAATTCCGTGACATTCATTACAACCAAGATCAGAACAGTTTCAGAGTAGTAGTCTTTGGCTTGCTGTGGACCAAGACATCCGCAACTGGGGAGGACGTTTATTGGGCCGCGCAGTCTGGACTAGTTGATCCCCAAGTAGCTCTCCAACAGCACCTCACCATTAATCAACCTCCCCCTTCTGCCGCTGTCTTCAGTTGGTGTCATGTGGGAGGTCTGCAGCCTTTGACGAAGTCCACATTTCTCACCTGTCTGCAATCCGCCAGAGATCAACTAGGGACTGGAGCGCTAAAAGGGCATGGAATTAGA